TTCCTTTGATGTGTCCCCCGTCGGACGGATTCCTTTTGTTTGTTTTAAGTTTATTTTATACAAAAGTTTAGGTCTTTTATTTATCGGGGCACTACGAAGTCTGCCGGGTCAGCTAGTAACTAATAAATTTTAAAACCTACCAATCAAAACACGATGTGTACAGATTAACGAAAACCAGTACACGCATACCCTGTTCTCAGACTGTAAACTTTAATTCAATAATTGAAATTGGAGACTGTTTTCTATTTTCAAATACAACTTTGAAGTCAGGAAGTGCTGAACTACATTGAAAATCTGTAACACATTACACCTCGTACCACGCTTCTTTCCAAATATGCAAATGCAACCTGTTTTAGACTAAAATTTCGATATTAACATACGTTATTACGTTTTACAGAAATACTCTTAACGAGTCATGCTCCGGTAGCGGGCCAGCTTTAATAATTTAGGTTTTTACAAAATTATGTTACCATTAACAGACCGTGCAACAAACACTTTAGTCTTATATTATTAGTCTTATATTATTAGTCTCAGTTAAATTGTTGTTACTTCCAATTATTTAATTCAAGGTTAATCTCAAGAGTAAATCACAGCTATTTTATACTGCTAATGCTGTTTGTATAGCTTTTAGGAAATTCTAAAAAGTCATATCTATTAATGGAAGTAAGCTAGGAATTATGTCTCAAATAATAGCATGCATCGGTAGACAGCGGCTTGGCTCTGTCCCTGGCATTGCTGAAGTCCATGGGCGGCGGTAACCACTCACCATCAGGTGGGCCGTATAGTCGTCTGCCTACAAGGGCAATAAAAAAAAATCAAATTTCTTTTAGGATGTTTTCTTTCGACAATCACGCTTTATAAAGTTTATTCCTCACTTTAGTGAACCGATTTTCAATTTGTCTTTGTCGTGAGTGTCTTGGGTTACTCACGACTGGTTTATTCTTATGCATTATTAGGTAAACAAAAAAGATAACTCAATAAATCCAGTGCATGAAGTGCATGTCTTTTTATTTTTTTTCATCGCAGCCGACGCTTTCAAAAAGGTTTATCCAATTTCTAGAATCTTGGTACGGCTGTCGTTGGCACTTCTGAGGAGACATTTGCGCAAGCAATGAATAGTTTGGCAAATTAATGTATTTCATTTAATAAGCAATAATCGGTCTCACATATTGTAGATTAGTTTTGTCTTTCCTATTGACAACGCTAGGCGACTGTGCCAGTGAATCATATTACCTACATTCATAATATGCAAAAACTGTAGCGTCAGCATACTGCATACAGGTAGTAATTTGATGCAGCTTGTTAACCATCTCAGAACCATAATGTTAGGATTTTTTCAAAGTTAATTAGAGAAGTTCTTATGTCATCAATTTAAAACAAAAACGAATAATGATGTTCATGTTTTAGCAACGTTTCGTGTTATGTAGCAATTGGTTACAAAACACGATTTATAAAAATATTCATTTGGGGAAGATGGATGGTGTTTTTTGCTTACGTTAGCACAAGGTGTTTCGTCGCTTCGTTTCTTATGAAACTCAATGATCGGTTGTCAATTAATTACGACCAGCTACATCCAGCACACCTCTTTATCGGACTAAATACTTTCGCTAACTGGTACTGCATCGCGAACACAATTTTTTTAGGTTTTAAGTAGTTATCGAGGCCCATCAATATCTTAAAAGGTGCCGACCACGTTGAGAGATGAATCTCAAATCTCAGTTTTACAGTACAACGGCTGCTCGGCCTTTCAAATCGAAACGCATTACTGTTTCGCGGCAGAAAATAGACATGATGGTGGTACCTGTCCGTGAGGATTCACAAAATGTGCCACCTAATTACGCAAATGATGATTTCTGAAGACTTGATTTTTATTATACCTGGAGTAGGTAAATAGAGACTACTTCTATTTAGGAAATAGGCCTCAGAAACCGCAACATCATGTAAATAATGGGAGTACCTATATTGTTATAAATCAATAAAAATACACTAGAAAATTCAGAAACAGTATAGATATAGTACACTTCGCCAAGCCTGACACATTTCATGGGAGTCTCGGACTTAAAATAAATTAAGCGCATTACCGTGGAAATTAGCATATTTTTCTAAATTTGCGCGGATGGGTAGGTGAGCTCACGGGCTCAATCTGAGAAAATTTGCTAAAACTAGCCTTAGTAAGAGTAGTGCTTCGCAGAATCTACCAATGTAGCGAAATCACGACCCACTGAGAGGACCCGGCGAGAAATTCAATGGGTTTGGTAATTAGCACCATCAGTACTGTATACACCTATTGTACAATAATGCACTAGCACGATTTTTGAAGGCAGGCAGTGGCATAGAATAGAATTACCTAGGGAGTGACCCTGTAGTTGTAGTAAAAAGTCTTAAGATCTATAGATTCTGGTGATTACGTTATTAAATAGACTAAAAAAAACATTATAGCAATCCCAATACATTTAGATATTGTTGTTATTTCATCATTTCTTGGTAATATCAATTTCGGCGTCAAAACCTCAACGGAACTAAACGATTAAGTACCATAAAAAGCCTTGGAAAGGTCAAAACGTTGCCTTAAAGTCATGTATCACGGTCAGCTGCCAAGACACTGACTCATCCCGGAGTTCGTTACACCGGCCTTTGTTTTAGCCTGTATCCTTGAATCGTCACGGACGCCACTTGAACCGCTTAGATAGTACGACTTTTTGTATTCTAGACCAGTTTTTTTTTAGGAACACGTCGTTCTGTAATGTGGGCGTCGGATTTCTTGAACTAACTCCTACCTAGATCCTTTGTGTCGTTTGAGTTTGGTTATAAATCGTTTGATTTATTTTGATTTTATAAATTGCATTCGACTACACAGGTATTAACCAATCTGTAGGGTAAAATTCGGAATAAAAGCTCCCGAAAAATATTGTAAAGAAAATAGGTTGAGCATAGATTAATAGTGATAGATTAACTCGGCGCCTTAGTGGCAAGCGGCCCTGATTGTTGTATATGGATATTAATTCTCAACATAAAAAACAAAAGAAAGAATAGACGCAGGCGCGGAATTCACGTAGTGATTTTCTTCCTCTTTAACTCCAGCGACGATTTAGATAGAAGAACGAGCTTATTTGTAAATTTACACAAATTTATTTACGTAACTTTACTAAATTTAAAAGGATAATCAAGATCGTATTTTTAATATGTAATTTCATATTTGAAGGTCTGGCATGTTCCGACTTCAATGCCAATTCATCGATCCATGTGATACTCCGTAATATAGCTGACTGCTGACAATTTGATTTGGATTTCTGAGCTTTTGTTTGAAAAATCGATTACGGAGTCTTGTATCAAATTCGTAATTAATGACTTAAGTACCTGTGAATTGTATTGATCACTTTGTTGCTCACCCTTTTTATTATTAGCGTGGGTAGACAAGCCTCGCCCCATCTAGCTGACGTCAGCAATGCTAGACGAAATATGCAATAGCTAGACGTCAGTCATGGAAGTCAGCAATGCCAAAGGCTCGGCCAAGCAGATACCTACCGCTGAGGATTCTCCACAAGCTCTTTTTGAATAAAGACATATCATATCACAGTAAAAACATCGTAGAAGACATTCCATTACAAAGCCTGATGGTACGTGACAAAACCTCTGTAAACACACTGTTCATGAACGTTATAGTTCTAGAAAGTATGGATAAGCTTTGCCCACTGAGTTCCTCGCCGGATTTTCTCAGTGGGTCGCGATTCTGATCCGGTGGTATACTCTGCGAAGCACTGCTGTTGCTAGGGCTAATGTTAGGAAATTCTCTCAGGTTGAGCCCGTGAGCTCACCTACCCGTCCGGGAGTAACTGAAATAGCCTCTTAGGCTTCTAGCGAATAGGTAGGGAAAAGATAAACTTGCTCTGACGGTGGGCGGTGCGATGATAAAAACGAGACGGCGGGTTCATCTCACACAATTCCTCAGAGCGTATTAGGCAAAAGAAAGCTAGACTGGAGCATGTGTTTGCTTTGAGGCAAGAATCTTAGTAAAGTGGCTACACCAGCCGCCCAGTATATTAAAACACCAACACTATATTACTGGAGCGGATAATACTTTCAACTTTTTTTTTTATAATTGAAAGATTACTGGTGGCCCTGGGGCCCTTCCAGTTTCACCAGTATAGGTGGGCGAGCAAAGGCTCAGCCATGAGGGGTGGGATCTGCCCGAGAGCCTCCAAAGGAGAATTAACAACTCAAGAGCAACTGCTTCGCGAATGAATCTATTACCGCATCGGAATTACGACCCGCTGAGATGACCTGGCGAGAAACTCCGCGTACTGATGCATGGTTTAGGTTGCACGATGAACCCCTTGCTGAGTTCGACGAGTATGGTTACCGGGGTTCCTAAACCAGCTCCTAGTGTTAGAGCTGAAGGCGTCTAATGCAAGTATTGGATCTGATGGATCCGTAAAGTCGTGGCTAGGGCACTACTTTCAACTGATGAGGAGTAATAAACATCAAAAATACTGTTTGCTTCAAGAGCTTAGTGTTTTGCTGTACAGTATTAACTGTCAGTCATTTTACTCTTCATTCCTCATCAACATTGTAGTTTTCTTTCGTTCTCATTATACCAGGTCAATAAATCCATCAACTATTATTATTACTATAAACGAAAGCTTATTATTATTTATTTATTATTATGCATTTCCCCTTGTGGTTTATACGAAATGAACAACGCAAACTATTACAATCTACAGTTGGTTTTAAGTCTAAAAAGTTTAGTTACGTTGTAAGGTAGTTTCAAATGCAACAGTTTTCCAGACTTGTAACAACAGTCTAATGAAAAGCTTAACAAATTCTGACCTCCTTTGAACTGGTTGTGACTGGGCTATTATTAGTCATGGTGTTTATAAATAACTTTAAAATATTAGCTACAATATAATAAATGGTTCGCTTTGTGAATTGTTAAGAAAATAATGTTATCGAAAGAAAAATTTAATGAAATAACACCTTAGCAATGTCAACATTATACATACCTGTTATGGGCAACGGGACTTTAAATGTAACACAGTTCCAGCGGATCACAAAACACCAAAACCATCTATAATCACTCAGTACACCAACAAACGATGGTACATAGACTTTTAATACAAAATTTGTTTTTCGAATATTCGTAGGTTTTTTTTTTTAATTTATTTATTTATCGATTTTAAGTTGAATGATTTATTTTAACGACGATACTACCGACTTGAGGCGGTCGAGCGACTGCCATCGGCTGCGAAGCCTGTGTCGATGACACTGCGCAGATAGTCCATCTCATTCGAACCCCAATGAAACGTTCTAGAGAGAACGAAACAAAAGATAATCGGAATGCAAGAACATAAACGTGGTTGTAAACGTGTGGGCGTTTCATATGCATATCAAGCTTTTTGGTGCGTTAGAAAGGGACGTAAAATGATTACAGCCTTCTGAGGTTGACTGTGAATATGTAGGCGCACGATGCGTAGAAAATGTGAGGAAAAATTGTTACTTTCTTCATTAAGGAGAAGTCTGTTGTTTTATGTTAAGTTTCCATATCAAATATAAGTGACAGTTTTTAAAATAAAAACTCCTTAGAACCGTTGCGATTCGATATTCGATGAAGTAACACTGAAAAAGGACAAACGTATACATTTCATTGCTACCGCGTGCGAATTGCATCTTTATTGCTTTGTTCTATGCACTAAATATTTAAATTTAAATATGTTCTATGCACTAAATAAACAAAACACAAGAGCAGTATTAACTACACCAATGTATTTAATGATTTTATCGTATAATCTAAGTTGGATTGGCATTAAACAAGCGACCGGTCGTTGATTTCAAACACTTTTTTTACTTTTTTATTGCTTAGATGGATGGACGAGCTCATAGCCCACCTAGTGTTAAGTGGTTACTGGAGCCCATAGACATCTACAGCGTAAATGCGCCACCCACCTTGATATATAGGTTTTATGGTCTTAGTATAGTTACAACGGCTGCCACACCCTTTAAGCCGAAATGCATTTCTGCTTCACGACAGAAACACGCAGGGTGGTGGTACATACCTGCGCGGACTCACAAGAAGTCCTACCACCAGTAATTACGCAAATTATCATTTTCCGGGTTTTATTTTTATTACACGATATTATTCCTTCACCGTGGAAGTCAATCGTGAACAATTGTTATTTCGTTCTATCGTGGTATTTCATTAGAAAAATTGGTACCTGCCGGCGCGATTCTAACACTGACGCATCGCTACATACGAATGCACCGGACGCCTTATCCTTTAGGCCACGACGACGATCTATGGATATACATACCTATACTGGCATAAATACTGTATACCACCTTTACCTGAGGTTATAATGAGTGACAGTTCACTGGTGGTAGGACCTCTTGGGAGTCCGCAGGGGTAGGTACCACCACCCCGCCTATTTCCGCCGTGAAGCAGTAATGCGTTTCGGTTCGAAGGGTGGGGTAGCCGTTGTAACTATACTGAGATCTTAGAACTTATATCTCGAGTTGGGTGGCGCATCTACGTTGTAGATGTCTATGGGCTCCAGTAATCACTTAACACTAGGTGGGCTGTGAGCTCGTCCATCCATCTAAGCAATAACAAAAAAAAAAGTTATGACTTCATTTATTCTTTCTCATCTTTATTCGCTTTATTATTACACAAGTTTCAAAGTTTCCAGAGCTATAGCATTAAATCTTCCCGTTTATGTGTGAATCTTACCCTTAATATATAACAAAATATGTATACGTTATTGCGAACTGACATCTAAATCGTAGGCAACAGAGTTGAAATTCGTAAAACGATATTAAAACCGAAACTACAGTTATAGAGTTGAAGTTAGTCAGAATACGAACTGGCAACGTCTCGCACGGCAAAACGAGCTGAAGTTAACAACAATTCTGTTAGTTTGGAATATATTTAGTAACGTGAAAGTCGTGTCGCATCGTTATGTTTTAATCATTGTTTTTGCCACGAATTCTTGTTTTATTTATTAAAAATTTCTGTTTTAAATTTTTTGTATGAAAAATGATCGGTGGCGATTATACTTTGGAGCTGTGCAACGTTTTCCATTCGGGACAGGTTCGTTTGTAGATATAAAGTCTTATGTTAAATGAATAGTGTCGTTTTATTGAGTTAAGTAACGCAGTGTTGTTTTCACTGTGGTTTGTTGTTGTGCGTTTGCAAGCGTTGTGTTGTTGAAATATTCTGGGTCATCTTTTTCATTTGGGCACTAACTGCAGTAGTTGAATTAAGTGGCCACGGGACCACTTCGCGATTTTAGAAGATCTCAGGTGCTAGTGATTTTCTAAAGTAGTCTTTATTATTAATTAAATAAGATACCGCAAGCCAAAAATTAAATTGACTATTATCTTACGATCCTAGTCAGGATCTTAGAACGAATTAATAATATTATTCTAATGTATTTGATACGTAAACCAATTTTTTATTTAACCGGACGTCTTGGAGTTTATGAAAATTACGTTATAAGATTTAGTTGCATACATAGATACTCATTAAGCTTTAAAAAGCGCATTAAAACAGGCCTGTATCGCGTGATGTTAGACATAGCATGGACATAACCGTCACAATACTTACGAATCGGTAAAAGCCATTTTCTTTTTGTTTGCTTTGAAGAGGTACATATTTATTAATAATACAGTGCTTTTGATTACTTATCGTTACTACTGATTGATTCCTTGCTTAAAATAATTATTTAGCGAAATAATTATGTCTTGGGTCACTTTTATATTTGACGTTTAAGGTAAAGTGTCCTTGGAAAATAGTCTAAGCTCGTTGATGTCTTTTGTGAGAGGAAGTTCTTCAATCCTTGTATTTTGCCAGGTTAAAAGCCCCGTGAGCTCACCTAGTCGTTTGGAGGATCTACTATAACCCCTCGAGATTACTTTTTTTAATTTTTTTATTGCTTAGATGGTTGGAACGAGCTCACAGCCCACCTGGTGTTAAGTGGTTACTGGAGCCCATAGACAGCCACAACGCAAATGCGTCACCCACCTTGAGATATAAGCTGCAAGGTCTCAGTATAGTTACAACGGCTGCTCCACCCTTCAAGCCGAAACGCATTACTGCTTCACGGCAGAAATAGGCAGGGTGGTGGTACCTACCCTGGTGGAAATAATCGTAGTTGAAATTTTGTAATTTGTATTCGCTGAGGCGCGATGGGGCCAGCCAGATCGCTAACAGCGAATCCATGAAACATCGATTTCATCGTCTGATTCTGTCGTTAAAAATTAACCGATTCTCAGGTGGAACCAGGCAGCTTCTTCCAACGTCTCACTGGAGGAGTGAAGACAGGAGTGATCCTTAAAGATGTGTCCTTCACGACACACAGCGGCGAAGTCACGGCCATACTGGGATCTAAAGGTTAGTGACGTAACTTCAGTTGTACTTTGTAAAATTGTATTGTCGTTATTTCTAAGTACCCTCGATAAAAAAGAGCTTAATTAAAAAAAAAACTATAAAATAAATGAAAAAGTGCATAAGGTGGTTTAATATCATTATAATACACTAGCGGTCCGCTCCGGCTCCGCTCGGGTCTTTAACAAAAATTTCAACGATATTTGACATTGTTTTATTTTTTAAAATAAAAGAACACTTATTGCGGCATAATTACAATAGTTAGTTAGTTAGTTAGATATATGCGGTCGCGACACTTTTTAAAAAAATGTAATGTAATGTAAAAAAACATAATGTGTTCTACAAAGTCGTAATACATTATTTTATTCTATCATCAATAGTTTTCGCAGAACACGCGATGTAAAGAATATGTTAGGTAGTTTTTTTGCACCTTGGGTTACATTATTGGAGTTTTAGTAAGGATCCCTAATTTTTTCAAAAAAGATTATAGGCTATGTTACTTGGGAATAGTGTAGCTTCAAAACAGTGAATGAATTTTTCAAATCAGCTTAGTAGTTTCGGAGCCTATTCAATACAAACAAACAAACAAATATTTCCTCTTTATAATATTAGTATTGATAATACACACTTCTTTTTGCCCTTATCCCCCTATTTGGGGTCGGCGCTGCGTGTCCTCTTTCTCCATTCGGGCCTATCATCACGTCATCTCTCGACTCACACCTTTCCCTCGCATATCGGATGTTTTTTTAATGTCCTTGTAGGCAGACGAGCATACCCACCTGATGGTGAGTGGTTACCGTCGCCCATGGACTTCAGCAATGCCAGGGTCAGAGCCAAGCTACCTACCGTCACACAGTCGGTTTAAACATTCTTAGGAGGCCCGTTTCTCTCCTCCTAATTGATGATCTACACACAGGTAGCGGTAAACGCGCCCTCCTAGACGTGATAGCTCGTCGCGTGCCATCAAAAGGCCACGTGCTACTCGAAGGCGTACCCTTAGAAGAGGAACAGTTCAACATCAACTGCGCTTTGGTTCGACACTCGACAAGACTGCTGCCAGGACTGAGCGTTCAGCAGACATTGGCCTTATCACTTACTAAGGTAAGTCCTTCTACATTGGTCGTGGCCACTCCTAACTTTTGTTCTCACGATGGAACGAGCATCACAGACAGTGGAATCGAATTTCTGTTGTGAATTTGGTTAGACCTTTCACTCCATCAGTGGTCATTATTTTGTACAAACGCCTCTTAAATGTTGCGAGCCTAGACTTGAATTAAATAACACTCTGTATTCGACACTAAGTCAACATTTTCCGTGTCTTCGTGTGCAAAGCTAACCTTACCCATAGTGTTAAGACACGTATGTCTTAAATGGGACCGATCGCAAGATCAGCACTGGACTCCTTCCATAATTTATATTTAAATTATTGCAAAATTCCTTATTCCATTCCGTCCGTATTCCGTTCCATAAATTATCACAGTGAATATTACCATTACGATAAATTTGCTTTTTTTATCAACATGTAAATAAGACCATGGTCCGTGGTTCTACAACTAGTTACAACCAGCGACGACAATATTCAAACTTAAATAGGCTATTTCGTTCAAATAAAAAGTTAATTTATTCAAAAAGTTTCATTCACATGTTAAATCTAAAAGTGAAGTCACACTATTTCACAATGCTTTATCCGTTTAGATTTCAGGGTATTTGAAGTCATCGAAAGTGAAACAAGTGATGGCTGACATGGCTCTCTCGCAGGTGATATTGTCATTTCTCTTTCAAAATACTTTTTAAGCTATTGCATAGCTTCTATCGCGGGCCTTGAGCGCGGCGACTGAATCAAGAAATTCCGTAACGAAAATAACCTGACGCCCCCACTGCGCCTACCATGTAGCTCGCGTTCAACACATTCACACGTTGCGCTGGTGTAGTGTTTGTGAATAAGCGCGCGGCGTGACGTCGCACTGCATGAGCATCTTGAAAAGTCTGCCCATCTCTCTCTCACGCGGTCTAGCTTATGAGTGTGAAGGGGACAGTTAATGTTTTGCTTTTGTTAATATTTATAAATATAGCGTGGTCTTGTTTTTATTATTGTTTTAATATTAAATTATTATTGTCTAATTGTAATTGCATAAGTTAATAAAAAATGCTTTGCAATAGCTTTACCGCGGCAGTCCCCGAGTGCCACACGTCTTTTTTTTTAATTCTTCTATTCAGTGGCGAGTAAATATTAAATAGCAATATATTTGAGCGTTGACAACTATTTTGTACAGGTTGCGAACAAATGCGTCACGAATTTAACCAAAAGCGAATACAGAAGATTAGTCATTGGAGTGCAATTGATTCGTGATCCAAGTGAGTACCTAATTATTTGGTGTTTAACTTAATGGCTTGACTAACTTAACTGCCATAATTATAAGAGCTTTTAGTAAGTATTTATTAACAGACTAAAGAAAAATTATAGTTTTGTCTGGTTGTTTTCATGATTTGCCCATTTATGTTAAAACAATATTTACATTATTTAGAATAAACATACTCAATGGAATGTTAACATCAAATAAATATATTTGGTGGCCATTTTTTATGTATTATATATGCACATGAAGTTAAATAATTATCGGAGCCCGTGAACTTCATGTTATAAATCAATTGGCTTATTTTATTTATTACAATTATTTCCACAACGCGCACTTTAAATTTAAATGATTCTACCCGCTTTGAACAGCATTGTTTGTTACAGTTATTTTGTTACTGGACGAGCCGACATGGGATTTGGATCCTCTCAACACTTATCTTGTTATATCGATATTATCGAATGCCGCTAAAAAATACGGGACCGCTATCATACTCACAATGGAAAAGCCTAGATCAGGTGGGATATCAACGAAAACAAATCTCGTCTTTTGATTATAAGAATCTTTTTGAATTACATATGTACCATTCCTAATTTACGGAAATTTCTTTGAACCGATCTTTACATTACGGCGGCTCTCAAACTTTTGTATGTGTATTAGATACATAAATAGAAGTAGATGATTCTGACAAAGTACACTGTTGCAGTGTCCGGCGGGGATATATTTCGAAAACTCCTTGCAAATAATAAAAAATAACATAAAAAATAATTCTCGGATTCGAATACCGGTGCATCGCTACATACGAATGCACCGGGCGCCTTATCCATTAGGCCATGAAAACTTCAATAAAAATAAAAATATCTTCTACTAAATAACTTCTGCGACTATGTGCCTAATTAAGATATTTTATTCCATCCCCAGATGTATTCCCATTCCTGGACCGGGTGGTGTATCTGTGCCTCGGGGATGTAGTATACGCGGGACCAACGAGGAACTTGCTTGACTACTTCGGCAGCATCGGGTTCCCGTGTCCACAGTTAGAAAACCCGCTCATGTACTACCGTAAGTGTTTTCACAGGCAATTGTGAATGTACTATCATGACATGTGTTTCTCGTTTTATTTGTAATTTATTTATAAGCATCCATTTGCCTATAACTCTCACCAATGGACCGGATAAGTTCAATCTACGTCCGGGAAAAGTTTAGTAATTGTTTTAGCGTGATATACAAACAATTCGTTTACTTACTAGATCTAACAAATTATAATTATACCCATAATACTATTGTAAGCGTTAACGTGCATTTGTTACACAAGAACATTTATTTTACTTTGTTCACTTGTTCCACTTTAAACAAGTTAGTTTATAATTAGTAAAAATAACTTTTGCAAGAACACTAAAATTATTCAACAAGTTGAAACTTAAATCGTAATCTTCTGCAGTGTGCCTCTCCACCGTCGATAGGAGATCACGGGAGCGCTTCATTGAATCAAACCACCAGATCGCGGCGCTGGTCGAGAAATTTAAGATCGAAGGTCAAGCCATCATGCAGGGCAATCTTCATGAAAACAATCGTATCGTAAACCCTAATAAAGTACAAATGAACTATGGGAAGCCTGGCGGATTTAAGACAGTGTGGATGTTGTACTTGTAAGTATTTAAGCAATATTAATAATAATGTTGATTGCCACGTTGGTTCAATGGCACTAGTACTAAAGCCAGTAAGTGAAAAGCACAATTCATTGAACTCGTCGAAGGCTTTGAAGTTACCAGTCAGACAAGTGTTGCGCCGAATCTTCTGAGCAGGTCGCGATTGCGATCTAGTAGTAACTACAACCATGATTGCCTTCAGTTGACAGGCCTTCTGAAGCGTTCAGGCTGATGTTGAAAAAGCGAATTCACTAATAATAATAAAATATGTAGTATACACACAGAAAATAAAATATTTTTATCCTGGTTGCAATAATAGGTCAGACTAATTGTCTTAAAATTAATCCTGCATACGTGTGCAAATTTTCAATTTATTTGTACTTATTAAGATTTGTTAAAATTACATTTAGTTTAAAAAATTGATAGATGTAAGTTAAACTAATAAAAGCATCTTTAAAATGCTAACATACAGAGACTTATAATATATTACAAAGTTGAAAGTTTTCACCTAATACCTATAATGTACTCTCTAGGATGGTTGCGATCATAGAGTAACAAATCCTCTTTATTGTAATATATAATAATAATATGTATTATATTGTTTAAAATATTTATAGTTATTATTTATTTGATTTATACATATTTCCAGACGGACTCTAGCTACAATATTCAATCTTAACAAACACGGATTCAAGCAAATGTTTATGAGACTTCTTTGTTTACCGATATATTTTTTCATACTTTGGATTTTCTACAATGAGGCAAAGGTACGCATATATACATTTAACGCTTTTTTTTCACCCATGCGGCCATACTTGTTACATGCAACTTCATTTTAGCGCGTAATGCGGTCATTTGGATCCAATTAATACTATTATAATAATATTAGTAATAATTAATAATAATAGTGCTTAATATTAATAATATTACTACATTTCTTTATTTGGACAAATATACTCAAAGCAAGCATTATTTCAAAGGAAACTTTATTCTTAATACGCTTTTATTAGCTTCAGACGTATGTAAGTTAGTATGTAACGGAATCTTTGAACATGATTGTGACCCCCTTCAAAACGTCGGATTAACTCGAAATTTGGCATACTTATTGAGGACCGATGACAAATTAATATTAAAAAAAAATTGACAAAATTTAAATTTATCTATTAAAATGAAAAATAAATAATAGTTTAAAAATACTAAAAAAATACGCTTTTATAAAAAATCCAACTAAAAAATAGAAAATAAATTTTAATAAATTTGAATTAAAAATAGTGTAAAAAAATGATTTTTCTTTTTCCAGGATTATCAACGGGCTTTCATTACTAAAAGCGGTTTGATCTTCAACGCAATGGTCGGAACTTATTTTGTCAGCATCATGAACACTATTTGTCTTTGTAAGTGCAATGTTTAGTGTGATCCTGTTGATACTGATCAGGATATTAGAGCGAAGTTTGATATTGATCAGGATATTAGAGCAAAGTTCATTGAGTAATTGATCGATGGCGCAATTATACAATTAGTGTACATATACATATGGGCACATATGGGTGCTCAAATTTTCACATTAATCGGACTTTTTTTTCTTTTTTTATTGCTTAGGTGGGCGAGCTCACGTCACCTGGTGTTAAGTAGTTATCGAAGCCCATAGACCCCTACGACGTAAATGCCGCCACCTACCTCCAGTCATAAGTTCTAAGTCTCAGTTTTAACAGTACAACGGCTGCCGTACCCTTCAAACCGAAACGCATTACTGCTTCAGGGCAGAAATAGGCGGGGTAGTGGTACCTACCTATGCGGACTCACAAGAGTTCGTACCACCAGTAATTACGCAAATTATAATTTAGCGGATTTGATTTTTATTACACGATGTTATTCCTTCACCGTGGAAGTTAATCGTGAACATTTGCTGAGTACCTACGTATTTCTTCAGAATAATTGGTACCTGCCTGCGGGATTCGAACACCGATGCATCGCTAGATACGACGATTGCACCGGGCGTCTTATCCTTTAAGCCACGGCGACTTCAATAACCTCTTGACTTCAAATATTTTAGTATTATTGTCGTAATCGTAATTTGATGAACAGATTAAAACTCTTTTCAGACGGTCCTTATAGAACTCGGTACTACGAAGAGTCCCAGGAGGGACATTACAGCGGCGCCAGTTTACTCCTGTCTTGGAATATAGTTTCGTTGCCATTTTCATGTATCACTTCGTTCGCTTCGGCTGCAATTATTTACCCGTAAGCCTTATTAAATGTTTTCTGAGATTATTTCAATAAAATAAATCCTAATATTGGATTTTTTTTTATTGCTTAGATGGGTGGAGGAACTCACAGCACACCTGGTGTTAAGTGGTTACTGGAGCCCATAGACAGCCACAACGCAAATGCGTCACCCACCTTGAGATATAAGCTGTAAGGTCTCGAACGCATTACTGCTTCACGGCAGAAATAGACAGAGTGGTGGTACCTACCCGCGCGGGCTCACAAGAGGTCCTACCACCAGTAATTTACCTAAGTAATCGAATAATATTTTGACTAAAGACACCTAATATTAAATAACAGACTCCAAAAAGTGATACTACCTCCTCTTGTTGAATAGCCGAATCGTGGGATTGTTGTTTTTAAATACATCGGATATTTCAACTTTGCTTCTCAATCTGCGATAGTGTTGATGTTATGACATCAACGGGGTCTTTTAGCCACTAACGCCCAGAAAGACTCAGTCATACTGTCTGTTCAGTGCAATATTTGTCGTTTACTGTAAATCTTTGCGTTCAAGGATCTTGGCCGACATTTCTGAATCGTTGGACTACATTCACTTCTCGTTGGTGCTGTGGTCGTCGTATATTTACGCGGAACAACAAACGATCGCGATAATGGTATTCGTTAAGAACGGACTGAACGCCGCCATTGTCAACTTGTACATCACTTGCATTTACGTCATGCTCGCCAGTGGAGTGTTAAGGTAGAGGATTCATTCATTACCTTTTATTTTCCTGCTTATGCTGATAGACTTGAGAGGTTAATACAGCTTCACCTTAACGTGTAGATGAGCTCACGGGGCTCAAACCTGACGTTGTTGCTACCACGAACCCTAGCAAGAGCCATGCTTAGCAGAATCTACCACCGGATCGGAATCGCGACCCACTGAGAAGATCCGGCCAGAAATTCAGTGGGCTGTGTTTATGGATTAGTTTACTCGTCGAGCCCTTTGTCGTAAGCGACGGGTTCGGCGAGGACGGTGACCAGTGCTTGAGGTACCTACCTAAAAGCACCGTTAATGGATCAGGAGGATACGTACCTAATGACGTGTTCAATACCTAAATGCTTATTGCTGTTGTAGTGAGCTACGCTTAGCGACAGACCATCAGGATTCTAGCAATAGCATCGACTTGAAAAATGAGATCGAAGCCATATACCCACGTCAGCTTCGTGACCCTAACTATGAAGCCCTAACTCTCATTTGTGTGACGGATGTCCCACCCTTCAAACCGGAACGCGTTACTGCATCGCGGCAATAATGGACAAGATGGTGGTACCTACTCGTGCGGGCTCTAAAGACGGCCACCAGAAAACAAACTACTATTTTCATATACAATAATTTTTTATTAACATATTATTATATAAATGTTTCTATTACGGTCATATGATTTTAGTTGATAATAACGAAATGAATCGACTGGTAATCGAAATACAAATCCTCTTAACTCTGGGCAGCAGTTCAGCTATGCCTGCTAGGTATAGGTCATACCATAAACATAAAACTTATCGAGAGGTGAAAGGTTATTTGATTTAAGCGACATTTCGCTTAATAACCGACATTTATCTTTGTAATAAAAGGTCCGTTTTATTTGGTATTAGTATCAACAATTCGATGTTTTTAATTAAACTTCTGTAGGTTTACGACGAAAGGAAGATCTTCCGCCGAGCGGGTGATATTGCTCGGTAGACCGACGGTCTGAATGTTGTTGTTTAGAACTTGAATATATGCGAGCTTATCTTGAAAATGTCGTAAGCGAGGTTCAGGCATCTGTCAAATATCTTGTGTTCTCTGATGCCTACCGCCACACTTCAATTGCGTTTACCCCATTCAAACAGCTAAAGAAGCGTTTTTTTTTATTTTTTTTCCAAATTCTAAACTTTTAATTGCTCTCCTATCATCATCATCATCATCATCATCATGAACAGCCCACAGTCGTCCACTGCTGGACATAGGCTTCTTCCAATCTACACCACTGAGCCCGGTCTGCGGCTCTTCTCATCCACTTCTTGCCGGCCACCGTGCGGAGGTCATCCTATAAAGTTACCAAAATGTCGCTTAAACCTTTCACCTTAGCCAATAGCTTAGCCACCAATAGCCTTTCACTCCTCGATATATTATGTAAGTACATAGAACGAAACTTAATTCTTCGTATTTATTTGACACTAGCGACCCGCCCTCGCTTCGCTTCGGAAACATTAAAACACACATGAAACCAAAAAAATAAAATAAAAAACAATTAAAAAAAAAGTAGCCTATGTTCATCAGGGACAATGTCGGCTTCTAATGGAAAAAGAATTTTTCAAATCGGTCCAGTAGTTTCGGAGCCTATTCGAAACAAACAAACAAACAAATCTTTCCTCTTTATAATATTTATTTGACATTCTTTCAAGGAATAACCCAAATAATAATCGTTATTTACAAAATCGATTCTAAATCGAGAGAATATTATCCGCAGATCCTACAAAGGCTTCGAAGACTGGCTCCACTACTTAACTTACATAACGCACACACGCTACGCCTCGATCTTCCTCCACCGGACCGTCTTCAAGCAACCGACCTTCAACATTCTGCCCTACAGCGACCACGAGAATTGCACGGGCATCACCAGCCTCATTCAGACCTCGTCGAGTTTAAACACGAATTCAAACGCTAACTGCAGATACGCCAGCGGGAAGGCATTCTTGACTGAACGATTCACGTCGAAAAGTTTCACGGGGGACATTAACTTAGCGGGAGACTTCAATTTAAATTTCAATCTCGGCGTGTCGTTTGCATTCTCCGTCGGTATTATGATTTTCAACAAATTCCTGTATCTGATGCCTCTACCTAGCTATATAACCGATAAATTCAGAGAATAAAACATTTTTTTTTTTCAAATGATTGTATAGATTTTAATTTTGTGTAAGATACAATATACTATTTAAAAAAAAAAAAAAATTGTAAATTTTAAAAACTATCTTGAAGAGTTAAAAAATAATTTCATTCAGAATAAAACTAGTACGAAATAAAATAAAAGTATTATTGAAAATATTTTATTTTTGACTTTACATAATCTAAAGTACATTTAACCACAAACTACCAGCTATATCATAATTAATTTTTTCCAAAAAGACTTATTTTAAAATCGATAACGATATCATTCGGAATCGATATTCGGAGTCACCGAACTCGTATTTGTCATGGCTCATGACCTGAATAAAATCACCTGGGGGGTAGAACGAACTGAACGTATCCCGGTAAGCACCAACACCCCGGCAATTTCTGCCGCAGGGCAGTTGTGACTTACACCAAATACATTTTTGTATTCTAGTTGTTTTTTCAGTTTACCTATATCCTAATTATGCTATAATAGATATCCCGTACCTAGAATAACATTCATCTTAATATTCTTAACTTAATAAGCAGATGCATGTGGTTCTTGAGGTTTGGAGAATCAGTCGAGCCTGTTCTTAAAGCAGTATCCTCTTAGTTTTAGTGAATTTCCTCATAGTGCATCGGTTTGTTATGGTCAGCGAACAGAATCTCAATAGCTTTGTAACAAACAGTAACTCGAATATTTCAATAAGACTTTCTTCTCTATATACTTCTCAAGATATTGAATGCCAAGTTCGTCCAAGCATGGTTCATGTATCCTTCTGTATATTTTATCTAAGAGATCAATGTATCCCCTACAATCTTCTTAATTTATTTTTTAACTTTTCTGTCTTCAGTAAAATAATACTGTGATCGATTTTAAAATAAACCAACATAATACGATCACACATTCTCAAAAAGAATATTTTAATATCGCTACAATCTTAATCATGTAAGAATAAATTCTTCGACGACTTTTGGATAAGTGCTTGGGACGTAGAGAACGGTGGATTCAGTTTGTGTATCGATTTCATTTTCGTTTGAAACACAGGCCGTGCCGTCTTCTGCAAAAAATAATAATAAGATGATTATCAAACATTCACAATCCGAGAATTAGTATAGATTACAGTCAAATGCTAAATTTATTTAAATAATAATTTTCAAAACAATCAGTTCTAGTTTTTTGTTTTGAGGTCATCGTGGCCTTAAGGATAAAGGACGAGGTGCATTCGTATCGAGCGAGCTGTGGCTCTAATTCCGCGGGCAGGTATCAATGCTTCTCATGTTGACAAACGACTTTCACAATTAAGAAATAATGCAATAGAATAAAACTAACAAAAATTACAATTTGTAATTACTATCAAATTGATGAGTGGGTCTCTAGTTTGAAGTTGGGTGGTGGCATTAACATTGTAATGTTTACAGGCATCATTAACCACTTAACACTAGATGTACCATGATCTTATCTCTCTGTCCCCAATAAATAAATGACTAAGTTTAATTTCTGGGCAAGTAATTGTCTCCATCGTAACTTTTAAAATGATAAGACGCTTGGTGCATTCTGTAGAGCGACTGTGCCGATGTTCACATCCCACGGGCCGGAATATTATAGTATTATAATAGTGATTAATAATCTTACATAAATAATAGTAAGTGAAAAAACTAACTCACCGCTATATAAAACTATGGTCTTGTTCAATTTGTTGATTGTGACCTGCAAATAAGGCCTTAAAATTATTTTACAATTTTATTCTTTACTTATCAGTAAAAACGGTATACATATGTAGTACTAATTTTTTCTAAATACTTCTAAATATTTCTCTTGTACTTATATTTCAATACATTAAAAATGTCACTGAATAATTAATGTGTAATATTTCTCACTCAGTGATATTTAAATCGTCTCACAATCAAAAAGTCGCAAATTTGAACCTAGTCATATATCACATTTTGGGTTTGAGTTGCATTACGGTAATGAGTAATAATGGAAAGCAGCTGTGGAATCAATTGAGATAACTAATGAGAAGGGCAACAGCTTCTCACTTAAAGTGTACATAAATATTTTCTTTATATAATTACTTTCATTCAAATGTCTTTTCTAGTACTAACTACTACGGTATAATATTAACACTACTTTGTTCTAATTAAATTATGAACAGAAGTAATGCGATTTTTACCTTTTAAATTTGCCTGGCGTATTTAGCAGGTTGTACTGATCATGCTCGCAGTTGCACTGAAATTTGCGAACATATATTAATATTGACGATAGAAAAATATTCTTTATCGTCAGAAACAGAGTGAATGCAAATTTCAGGTCACCTGCAATTATAATCAATACAACCTATTTGATACATTAGGTGGAAAAGTAAACAGCTGTTTGTTCCCATACTTGAATTCTATTATTTATTTTAAATATAAAGCACACTACAATTGCTGTTACCGTAAAGTTAATACTTACTGGTGACATAACAATTTCTCTATATTTTGTCAAGTACAAACGCAAAGGTTTCACGTAGTTATCAAATCCCAGGGTATTCAATGCGAACAATACATCTTCCCCATTGATGGTCTTGCGTTTTTCAACCTTGCATCTGTCACTAGCCTCGCTCGTTACAAACGATATGAATTCTGATATACATTCCTGAACACATTCCCTTGCATCTTTTGCTATCTGTAAATCAATGAATACTATTTATGAAGAATGTAAATGCAGTATAAATCTACTTTTCAAAATAACATAACAAAGATGTACACTGATGATTGAAAATCAACTTTAAAATATGTAATTTTAAGTGCTTGGTAAATGTAGCAGATTAATCAGCTGAAGAGCAAGGTAAACAACTAAGTGACACTTTGGGGTATTTTCAGCAAACAAACACTTCCTATACTGCATCAGTACTAGTGGATGTGCAGAATAAATGAAGCAAAATTAGTAACGAATGGGTACATTTTCGATGTGTACTGTTCTAGTTTTATCAACTCATCTCATCTCTTGGATGTTGTAAAAAGTAAATTTGCGATTCATCAAAGAGGTCCCAGAGGTTTCAAATAATCCATGAGGGGTTCTCGACAGCAGAAACAGACATCATCTGCATGAAGTCAAATGGAAGTAGCTGGTAACTGGAGCCCTGGCGCACTAGTTGGAGCAGGACACAAGTCCTGCCTGATATGGATTACTGGGACAACCATTTTATAATACCACTGAGACTGACATCATAACCTCAAGATAAGTGGAAGCATTCACATTATAATGTCAATGAGTTCCAGTAAAAACTCTACATCAGGCAGAACACATTAATCTGGATTACCAATGATATTTACTAATATTGATTGAATAAATATAGAAACATGTGATATATCTATATGCCACATTCATGCAAGAGAATATCTAAACTTGAAGTTTATATATATGGCCCATAAACTATTTTAGATCTAAAATTACAACACACTAACTGTACTTCGATAAACATATTTTTTAATGCAATTCTTATACCTTTCCATTCTCTGGTATTGCCCGTTTCATTATTTTAGCTATATTCGCGATTGGTAAAAATCTATCCTGTTCTCGTAGCGGTGCATTGCTCTTACTCCCAGAGTCCGAGTTGTTTTCATCTTCTGCAAAAATACTGAAGGTCAGTGTTCTATACAAACTTAAAGAATGCACCAATATTAACTCTTCGAATTTCTGATTTTAAAATATTTGTTTATATTCAACGAAGACTATTATATAGTAGTAAACTTGTAAGTATTATTTTGTTTATGTACTTCTTAGACGATTAAGAAAATTGTTTACCTAACACATCATCAGAATTGACAACAAATGTGTCATCCGCTACCAAAAATCCATTGTCCAATCTCACTAAGTCATTTCCAAGTTCGTCGCTATCCATGATTAGAAATTTTAGTATCTACCTTTAGTAGTAGTTCACGCTTATTAAAAAAATGCGTGCTGGATTTAGAGCTCAGCGTAACGTAGTGTTTACAAAATTGTGTATTCAAGGATGAAAGAAGTAGCTATCTTCTTTGAATCATTCGTTCAAATAATCAAGAAAGAATTGATGTGTTCGCCTGAAACTACATTGACATTTATATATTTATTCACACATTGAGTAAATGGAACTTGATTTATTTTATTTTGTAAAAAATCTATGGAATCACCACTGACTGACGTATGATTTTTTTTAAGGGATTTTATAACCTGGTACCTAAGACCTTTAAGTCATATCTTATTTTAATTTATATTCATATTTTTATGAAAAATGATATTATGGAGTGAAATGAAGTGAAGATGATTAATTTGAGACATTAATCAACTGGGATGAATTTAAATGAAATGAGATAAAATTATATGGGATGACATACAATCTTAGTAAAATGGTGGTCATTTACTGAGATTTCTTCAGTGGACTTTTTTAAGGATTCCGAAAAGCTACGTCAAAGCGGCTTTGTTTCATTTTCCCACATTAATGCACTTTCACAGATATTAAAAAGTTAATAAACCACCGTTAATTACGCAAAATTACAATTTGCGTAATTACTGGTGGTAGGACCTCATGTGAGTCCAGACGGGTAGGTACTCCCCCCCCCCTGTTTCTGCCGTGAAGCAGTAATGCGTTTCGGTTTGAAGGGTGGAGCAGCCGTTGTAACTATACTGAGACCTTACAACTTATATCTCAAGGCGGGTGGCGCATTTACGTTGTAGATGTCTATGGGCTCCAGTAACCACTTAACACCAGGTGAGCTGTGAGCTCGTCCAACCAACTAAGCAATGAAACAAAAAACTATCTCCTATTGCGTGGTAATGAATAATATCATTTTAACACGAAAGTTGTACATGACTGACACATATTGACATTTTTTTGTTGAAGTATTGTTGAAGCTTTCAATATTTTTTTGATCTACTTATGAAATAATTAGACAGTATAAACGCACTTGTTATCAAAACGCTAGTAAATACGGTCATTGCCAGCTGACTGACAAAACCGGCGCATGCGCAATGTAGGCGTGAGGTGATGGTTTGCTTGTTAGATATAAAATAATTAATAATTGGGAATATAATTGTTTATATAATCGAACAATCACCAATAGTTGTCGAACAAACGATAATTGATCAAAATTAATTACTCTGAGCGATAAAAATAAAGATATCTAGTAAAGGGAGGCAACTTAAGGGTGATCATTTTGTTTAATTAATTATAACTAAATAAAAGACGAACAAACAATTTTTATATTCGAACATTAACAAACAAACGATGAACAAATAAAAAAAATCTGAAAATCAAAAAAAAGGGGCCAAATTCAGTAAGCTGGGTATTAGGTACCTATAGGTACCCTGGATACTAAATCAATTTAAAAACACTACGACTACCACGTTTATAACGTGTACTTGAAATTTGACGGACTTTTTGGTGGGAACGCGAGGAGAGAGGTTGTGTGATTTGTTTTATTTTGTCTATTTAGTGTTTCTTCAGGTTTAAATGCGTAATAACAGTGGTTTATTACTTAATTAGCATCTGCGAAAGTGCAAATGTGGGAAAATCAAACAAAGCCGCTGAACGTAACTTCTCGGGATCCTCCAAAAAGTGCACTGAAAAAATCTCAGTAAATGACCACCACTTTACTGAAATTATATTTCATCCCATATCATCTCATCTCATTTCATACGATTTCATTTCATTTCATACTTTCTTTCAAAGATTAGGCTGTATGTTATGATATCTTTGCCTTTCCAATTGGAAAAGTAAAACTACTACTAATAGTTTGACGTATAAGTCAAAAGATCTATGAAGAGAAGACCATAAATTACCCAGTTAAACTATGATGGTGTGACGTGTGGTGTGTGTGTGTACCGTCCTGTGATTCTCAAAATTAAAATAAAATTTGATCAATCAATCTATAAAATTAAACTCTCAGTTACAAAAGTTGTAACTTTAGAATATAATCTTGGAGTGTTGCAATATCCAGTCCTGTGGGTGACGAACAGTGAATAAACTTAGTGCAAGCGTTTATCTCTAAATAAGGTTAACTGTTCCAGTGTTAACTATTGTCAAAAATGGGTGTCCCAAAATTTTTCCGTTATACCAGTGAAAGGTATCCTTGTCTCAATGAGCTGGTAAAACAGTATCAGGTAATTAATTTAGATACTAAATTACCTATTATTAATGGCGGAAATTAGTGCTTACACCTGTGTTCTTATTTTGACATGTAACTAAATTTGTTTCAAATGTTGTCTGTCAAATTATCATAAGTGCAATATAACTGGCTAGAATTGAATCATTTGTGATAATATGAGGGTGAAAAGATTATGGCTTCCGGTTCTGAATATTACGACACTAGCACCTTAAAATATTTCGTTAATTAATATACAAGAAAATTCATAATATAGTTATATAGTCAACATTCAAAAAAACATTCAATATATTAAAACGTAATCAGCGTAAAAATTAAGGATATCTACTTTGCAACTTCCTGTCTAGACTTAACCTAAACAGCCAAACAATTCTAAATTAAAACAAGTACCATAAATCATTTGATACATTAAAATATATTGTAGTCTCTTGAAGGGTTAAGTTACTACTACATGGTAAAATTGACCAAAGTGAGGAAAATCACACATCCATGTTAGTGGTAGGTTTATGTCAATAAACCTGACTAAGATGTAGGCCGGTATAGGCTAAAAAGTTATGGTTTGAATTGAGTTATCTTCATTTAAAATGTTTCTTTTTTTTAAATCCATTTTTTGTGTGCAGCATTAATTGAATCCCAAGTGAAAGTTTGAAATTAAATCTTTTACAGATTCCAGATTTTGATAACATGTATTTAGACATGAATGGAATCATTCACAATTGCTCGCATCCTGATGACTCCAACCCACATTTTCGTATCACTGAAGAGAAGATATTCACTGATGTCTTCCATTATATTAGTATTTTATTTCAAATTGTCAAGCCAAAAAAATTATTTTTCATGGCTATTGATGGAGTTGCACCTAGAGCGAAGATGAACCAGCAGAGAGGCAGAAGGTATAGTCAATGGACAATAATAATAAAATTATAAATGGGACGGTTATAAGTAAGGCTTCACTTCACCAATGAAATTAATTAATCTAGAATAAATAATTGGAAGCCCATTACAACAATTTAAACATTAATTCATATTTTACTAGAAATTTAAATTTCTACATAAAATATAATGCTGAGAAAACGGTCAAAGAAAAGTTTACCATTAATGTTCTTTATTTCACATTGCCTTTCATTAAAAATTGTAAAGTAATTCCTAGTATGAGAATAAAACAAGTGGACTTGGGCCATAGATCATAATAATTGTGTGCCTATGATTGATGAAAATTGAAAAAAGTAATATTTTACAAATGCAAATAATATTATGATTAAGAAAACAATAATTTAAGGTTCCGGTCTGCTAGAGAGGCAGAAAATTTAGAAGCAGAGGCTAAAGCAAAAGGTAAGAGTTTATTTTATTAAATCTTTTAAAGACAATGCAAGTAGCTAGGTAAGAAGATAATTTGAAATTGCTATGATTGTAGATGAATGATAGAGATAGACTACAGATTAGATACCTAAATCTTCTGAACAATGAAGTATCACTGTCAACTCCCCTATAGGACTCTTAAATATATGTTTTAACCTTGTGATCCTGTTTCTCTGATTTCAATTTTATTTAATTATCTCTATTTAATTTCATTTTTAAATCATTAATTGAAACCCTTGATATGTGTGCAAACCTTCTATCTGAAAAATTTTATTTCACACATTGGTAAACACCTGATGTATGAGCTTGAGTACTAACCTCAAAAATTGTTGACACAGGGGAAGTTCTGCCTACGGAGAAGAGATTCGACAGTAATTGCATCACCCCAGGAACTGTCTTCATGGCACGCCTACATGAACAACTCAAATATTTCGTAAAGCATAAAATGTCCACAGATCCACTCTGGTCCAAAGTTAAGGTCATACTCTCTGGACATGAGGTAATTTTATTATCGACATTACTAATAAGATATAATAATTTATTAATACAATGGTCAAATTTCATTTCAAAATATCGAAACTATTATTTTAATTGCTATTAATATTTATTCTTATAACAATGTTTATAAACTAATTACGTGTTGGTAGTTCAGTAACTCATTCAAACAAGTTCACAAGTATGAATCTATCTTTAATAACACAACCCTTATATATTAATAATTATACTTCTCTGCTAAGATTGTCTTTTTAGAACCTACTAATTACTACTATTAAAATTTTAACAGTAAAATGATGTATCTATATATGTAATAATATATATACACATATCTCTATATATATCTCTATATATTTTGATAAACCATGCTCTTATCTTTAAAGTAAAAAAGCTAACTAAACCTCATTATGTACTGTATCAAAAATTCTGTCACATCATTCTGATCCTGTACAATACTACAACAACATCTAAATATATTCTAAAAAAGGCTTTTTAATATATATTTTTTTGTTATCAGACCCCCGGCGAAGGGGAGCATAAAATAATGGACTATATTAGATGGGCACGCTCACAGCCCGATTATGATCCTAATACAAGACATTGCCTGTATGGTCTTGATGCAGATCTCATAATGCTAGGAATGTGCACGCATGAACCACATTTTGCACTTTTGAGAGAAGAGGTAAGTTTTTAAATTGGTTTTGTCTTTAACTCCACAATTCTGTCAAAAAACAGCATTTTTTTAGTATCTTTCGATAGGCAGGGAGTAAAGTAAGTTAGCGGAGTTACTGGCATTTCTGGTCTACCTTAGAGATGTGGCAACAAAAAATAACACATACCTTTTTTGGTTGAGACTATACTATACATAGTATAACGTTAGATGACAGATTGAAACTTTTTGCTCGAAAATTTAAGATATCTCAAAATTTCAGTCATTCATTTTTAAATGCAGGTTAAATTTGGTCGAACAACCCAAAGGGCGACAACCCCAGAAGAGACGAACTTCTATTTACTACATTTATCTCTGTTGAGAGAATATTTGGAACAAGAGTTTATCGCGATAAAGGACAAGTTGCCGTTCCCTTATGATATAGAGAAGATTGTTGATGACTGGGTGCTCATGGGATTCTTAGTGGGAAATGATTTTATACCTAATTTACCAAACATGCACGTCAATAACGATGCACTCCCACTACTGTATAATACTTACATGACCGTGCTGCCTAAGTTAGATGGTAAGTTTCTGATTTATTGGTATAAGTTTCGGCATATGGGTGTTTACGTTGTTAGCGTTGTGTATAAGTTTAGTATTCATTTGATTAAAAATATTATTTTGTGAAATTTGTAGATGAAGAAGACGTAACCTAAATGGTTTCAATAATAATTATAAACGAAACTGAAAAAAATAAAGCTTTGTTCTAGTAATTGCACATGTATGGCATATTTTTATTAGATTAGAAAAGAGCCACGATACTGCAGCAGCACGCAGCACTTCGGCTTTCTCTCTGGTATTACTGGACTGTACACTCGTCTCTCTCTTTATTTCCAATTAAAATACATCAGCAAAATAGCTACTACAACATACAGCGATTAGATTTCGGAGTCCAATAACTCATTCGTTCAATCTTGTATTATAGCCAGATGATATTCACATCAGCTATTTTTATATGTAGTTTTAAATTTTTTTTTTTTTTTTTCATAGATTGAATATGTTACTGTCGTGTTTTAGAACGACAGCAGTACTAGAACCTTCTTTGAACTAACGCTCGTCTCCACAGGCTACATAAACGAAGCTGGTGATCTGAACTTGGAAAGATTCGAGATATTTATGCAAGAACTTTCTAAGATAGACAAAGAAAAATTTCAGGACACCTACACCGACTTAAAGTACTTCGAAGAGAAAACGGGACGACGACCTAACGCTAATGAAAGGAGAGAGGTAATTTTGCGAACGAATATCTATACTGTTGTCTCTTATTCCTATTTTACTTATTTTATACATATTAATAATCGCTTTAGTGCCAACTTCATACTTATTAAGATTTATAAGTGTATACCTACTTAGAATATGCTATATCATTTGCAAGTATCCTCAATGTAATTATCTCTAGTTTATTAAATTTTACATAGGAAATTTTTGAAGAAAATCATTTTTAATTAGTTGTTAGTGAAGTCGCTTGGTCTAAAGGATTAAGACACGTACACGTAGGATAGGATACGTACTTAGCAAATGTTCACAATTAACTTCTACGGTGAAGTAATAGCATAATAAATATCATCGCATAATAAAAAAGAAACCTGTAAAAATTATAATTTATTTAATTAATTCATTGGTGGTAGAGCGTCTTGTGAGCCCGCGCGGGAGGTACCACTAACCTGTCTATTTCTGCCGTGAAACAGTAATGCGTTTCGGTTTAAAGGGTGAGATAGTCCTTATATATATATAAATGAACTGCTGTTCGTTTATCTCGCTAAAACTCGACTTTTATTTATCGATTGAGGCACTACGAAGTCTGCTGGGTCAGCCAGTACTGTATATAAACTGAGACCCAGACCTCATGTCTCAAGGTAGATGGTGGTATTTATGTTGTTGATGTCTATTGCTTTTGGCAACCACCTAAAATAAGGTGAGCCGTCAGCTCGACCACGCATTTTTTTGCCCAAGTATTTTAAGAAAACATAGTAGTACACTAGTAATTGCTAAAACTTTTTTGCACTACCTTATTTAGCCGATAATAATCGTAATATTATTTGACAAATATCGGTACTCATATCTTGGCAGAGATTTGCACAAGTCTCGATGTGCCAATTATGACCGCCATGCGGTTATTCAACTTCCGCGTTTCATCACTGACTGTAATAATTTATTTATACCCAATGTATTTATAGTTTTTTATTTTAAAGTAGTAATGACTTTTATATCATAGTATTTTGTTTGCTTAACGAATCGTAAACATGAACAATATGCACGTTTTAGTTGCTTATAAAATGCATACATGCAATAGTTTAAATTGTTTGTTGAATACTATAGATATTTTAATTGATTGTCTCTTTTCAGTACAAAGCTAATAACAATGACACGTTCAACGTAGATGTAAACGAAATAAAAGGAAACCATTTGGACAATGATCTGCAAGCACTCATAAATGCTACAGACAACATGGTAATTACCATTGAACTATTTCCTTCTTATGTTTTTTTCAGTATGGCAATTGGCGTTTTACGATAAAATTGTTGCCAGTGTTGAGTATATAAACATTATGTTCTGTCACATAAAGTATGATCAGAATGAATTAAAATTTACTACATTATAATGTTGTTTATACTTTATAGGTATAATGTCACATTTATATCTCACAGTGTAACAACATACTCAATTCAGTAGATAATGCTATATCTTATTTAGTTTGGGTACCTATCTTTGTTACGATAAACATATTTATCATAAATCAGACTTCGAATTTAATTAACGATGAATGAGTTCATTTGTACTTCAAGCTTATTACTTGTATTTGTAAAATGTTGTTTTATTTACGAAATATTCTATCCAGATTCATTTTCCAATCGGAGTCGTTCATCCTTATTAAATATATTTTGGTTTTCGTAGTCCTAAACCTTTTGACTGTGGAAAGTTTTTAAAATGAAATTCCTTTATTGTCAGATATCTCATAAAATCAATTGTTTTAGTTTATGAATGATTTGGAAGATGGTGAAGAAGAATACGAGGAAACGAGCGATGGTGAGTTTAAATATTTAATTTTTTCAAATCCTCCTCGCGTTTCCTCATTACTGAGGGTCGTGACTCCCCCGCTGCATCAGTTTCTCCCGTACGATTTCCCTCCATCTGCTGCGATCCTTAGCTTCATGAAGGCCATTGTGGAAGTTGATGCTTAGAGAAGATCGTATTTGGTCCGACCATCTCGTGGGACTGCGTACTCTGGGACGTTTACCATTTACTTTGTCTAGATTGTGACCTTCTTTACGAGCAATATGTCCGAAGAATTCCAGCACCCTACGAATTTTTTTTTTACTTTACGAAATTAATTTTTTTAAATATATTATTATAAAAAAAAAAATTACACCTAGTTCTGATCTTACTCAGGGTCATCTACGTTTGTTTGATGCCACAGCATTACTGTATTTCTACAGCGTTTCAATATTCAATAAAAACGTGAATTTACTTTTCAGAGGAAGCCAACATGGAAATGGAATTTATTTTGCATAAAAAAGATTATTATATGAATAAGTTGGACTATTCGAAAGTTACAGAGTAAGAATTTTACTATTCATTTAAAAAGAAAAAAAAACGTGGTTTTAATACAAGCAGTATAACCCACTCTATGATAGTATGTAAATATATAATTATTACATCACGTGTTATATATAAACAGTTTGTAATTACGGCATTGACATTGACACAGGTGACGGTTGAATTTGTGTTAGCTCATCTGCCAACATTAAGATTAGAAACAGATTACAATTTTAAAATATTATTGTATTATTGTTTTGCAGCTATCAATATATACTTTAAATTTCCTGAAAAAAGTCTCAATACCGTACCGTAAACTTTAATGATAACATACCGAAACGGACTGGAATCAGGGTAGATAGATATGTCTGCTCTTAGCATCCTAACCGCAGTTTTTGATCCAATCGCGAAAATGGTGCAACAGCGCCGAAATATCGGGAATTTAAAACTACAATTATTTTTAAATATTTTTATTTATTGCGCAGATGGGTAAGACGAGCTCACACCCCACCTGGTGTTAAGTGGGAATCTACAACTTCAATGCCGCCACCCCCCTTGAGATATAAGTTCTAAGGTCTCAGTATAGTTACAACTGCTGGTCCACCTTTCAAACCGAAACGCATTACTGCTTCACGGCAGAAATAGGCGGGGTGGTGGTATCTACCCGTGCGGACTCACAAGACGTCCTACCACCAGTACTCGCGTTAGGAACTATTATATGCTTTATAATAATGTTTTTAATCTATACATATAAATAAAATTGGAGTGTCTGTTTGTAATATTGAAATAGTCTCTTTTTACAACGTGCATATGAATATATATACGGTACATGCCCCAAATTAATTTTTTTTACAATTTCTGTCTGTCTGTCTGTTTGTTCCGGCAAATCTCTGGAACGGCTGGACCGATTTTGACGGGACTTTCACTGATAGGTAGCTGATGATATAAGGAGTAACTTAGGCTACTTTTTTTAGACGAGCTTCGCCCCGCGGCTTCACCCGCGGTACGACAATAACCGCGGGTAACATCGCGGGACTCGGCTATCAATAATAAAATTTAATGTTTCCGAAGCGAAGCGAGGGCGGGTCGCTAGTATGAAATAATATTGTTGAACAGCGAAGTGCTGGCGGACCAGGCCGAGGGCTACGTGCGAGCCATCCAGTGGAACCTGTACTACTACTACAAGGGCTGCCCCTCGTGGTGCTGGTTCTATCCGCACCACTACGCCCCCTACATATCCGACATTAAGGGATTCAAAGATCTGAAGATCGAATTCGAGCTCGGGGAACCGTTCAAGCCCTTCGAACAGGTGAGCAGCTCCTGTATTTCAGGTACGGTAGGCAGCGGCTTGGCTTTGCCCCTGGCATTGGTGGCGTCGACGAGCCACGTTAACCACTTAACATCGGGTGGGCTGTATGTTCGTAAGGGCATTAAAAACACAGTACGAAATATTCTGAATGGCATGTCGATGCTCCCTACGTACAATGCGACTTGGCAAAATGGAAATTAACACCATGTATAGATAGATACCCGTATATACGATATCAAGTCTATGAAACAAAAGAGTATTTAGTAAACCACACGATGACTGAAAAAATAAACTCATTAAATGACACTGGCCGCTTTTTTTCCTTATTATTAACACACTGTTGTCTCACCTGAAATTAAGATTCCATGTACTATAGGCACCATAAACTATAACACTAAAATACGTGTAAATAAATACATACTAGCTGACCCGGCAGTCTCCCTATTATAACAATAACTATTATCCCGTCTGGCAGACCAGAACTCGTGGTAGCTTAGTGGCGGTAGTTGGTAACATTAAAACATTAATTAGAACGAGAGTTAGTTATAAAAGAAATGGATATAGTATACCCCTATTAAGGATGACGTCGAAGTCTGTTAGTAGTTGGACGCGGTATGAGCCAGCACGTTAGTGTTTCGTGCGACAGAGATAACGCTCTACGAAGCCGAAATTAGTCGACTGTCTCTTTCCAAATGTCGAAGTGCAGCAATTATCGGCGGGGACTGTAATACTTCATCTACATGTCGTGTGTTTATTGCAGCTGTTAGCAGTGCTTCCGGCCGCCAGTAAGCATCTACTGCCGACCCCGTTTCACGATTTAATGACTGATGAAGATTCGCCGATAGTACATTACTATCCCGTGCATTTCGATACCGACCTCAACGGGAAAATCAACGATTGGGAGGCAGTCGTACTCATACCGTTCATAGATGAGGTGAGTGGCCTCTGTATTGTAGCATTGCCTCATTAGAAAAGCTCGTTTTAGTTTTAGAAACATCTAGAGGTTATAAGTTCGAGGATCACATGCTTTTTTTTTTTGTGTATTGCCGTACGTTGCAAAAAAGATCTCTGGAAGCGCACTGTGGATGACCGCAGTGGCTCCAGGTAGTATGGATGAACTGTACTCCGGTGGCGGGCGGTGCAGTGGTAAAAACGAGACGTTGGTATCATCTCGAACAATTCCTCAGAGCACTCAGTCACGTCAGTCAGACACGAGGTGTCAATTTGCTTTTGCTGGTTTTTATATAATTCCGTTTAATTTGCTTTAGTGAATATTAGCTGTTTAGTTGTGTGTGTGTATTGAAAAAATTAGGTTGTGTCATACAGACTCTCGTATGTTTTAGACTAATTTACTGTCAGCGATGGCGCCGTGCTACCAGCGGCTGACGGACGAAGAAATTAAAAGGAACCAGCCCGGACCGATGCTGGTCTACAGCTGGAGCTCTACTAGTCTAGGTTACTATTTGAGATAAAATATTATTTTTAATCTAATAACATTAAGTATGTCTGTTTTTTAGTTGGCATTCGGTTCGTTTTCGCATCATGATCCCGAAAGAGTTAAAACTTACTTTTGACTTTGTGGTCTGGCCTGACACCACTTGTATCTCTTCCCGTAGATGTCGTACGGTGACAAAGGATTTCATGCATTTACATGAACAAGATTGTATTAATCAACATCCTTCACACTCAACTACATCATAATCAACAACAATCAAGTATTGCATGTGTATGTGACATTGCGTTGGTGAACTGGCATTTATTGGTCCTATAGCGTTATTATAAGCCCACACCGATACAACCGTCTTGCCTATATCTGCCGCGAGGATGTCATGCATGCTCGTTTGAAAATTGGGGGTGACGTTATATGATACAACAAATTAAATTGAGAGATTGACCTCATGTCTCAAGGTGGGGGGCGGCATTAAAATTTTAAAGTTTATATGAACCTATTTATTGTTTAATACAATAAAATGGAAATGATTTGTAATGTCTGTGATAATCCAATATAGATCGCGCTTGTATCTTAAATTTCTAATTTCTAAAACATTGTTCTCCGATGTGTCCCAGGTGTCGTCGACGCTCCTCAGTACTTCCCATCGATCAAGGAGTGTCACGCGTTCGAGAAACGAGTGTGGAGGAATGAACTGGACGTGCCCGAGGAGCAGCTGAAGAAGGGAATGTTGCCCAACGCACGTCGGGACATGCTGTTCCCGGGCTTCCCCACCATGAGACATCTCAAATATAAGGTTACTAGCTGTACCCGTCCGCTTCGCTGGGCATTTAAAATTAACGTTATTATTTCTCACCCCTACAAAGATTCTCATCATTAACGCCCCCGCAACTGGTGTAGGGAGTCCAACACTCATATAAATATTAGCCTATCCATTAAGCACATGTATTTTCTACATGGATACCAAGTTTCAAGTCAATCGGATGCACGGTTCAGTAATTATAACGGAACATCCGTAAAAACCTCTGTAGATTTAGATATAATATTAGTATAGGTTATGTTTTCTTTATTTGTCTATACAACCATTTATTTTAAACGCTCTGGCAACCCTAATTATGTTCTCAGTAACTTATATTACTATTCTATGTAAGCGATTCTATATAACACGCGTATTAAATTAAAAAAAGTAGGTAGATTTATAATATGGTTTCTCGGTCCTATTTCCGCGGAGAAAGTTGTTTTATAGAATTAGTATGGCAGATGTGAATCTTACTAATCTACTCTTAATCCTAAAAATGGAAATGTTTTGTTCTAAAATGTTGTTGTTGTTGTTGTTGTTGTTTGGTTGTATTTATTTATGGTATATTTTTTTTATATTTGCAGTCGAGTCATAAAATGGCAAAAGTGAAAGTTTTTGACCTGCCAGCCCGAAATAGTAGCGTAATTATTGAACTGATCCGAGATAAAGATGAGGATTCCCTGGAGAGGGTGGCGAACGAGCTGCTCGGTAAAGCTATATGGGTTGGGTGGCCGCACCTCACGAGAGCTAAGTAAGTAATACTATTTTAAGTCGTACAATGTCTTCATGTCGACATAAGTATACCGAGACCAGCTATTTGTTCTATAATGTACATTATGGGCTAACTACGAAAAGGTTCTATCACCCATTCTCACAAATCATCCTTAAAAAAAAAAAAAAAATTCAGACCATTATAAGTCCATATGTTGTTAGTAGAGTAATACTTGAATGTAATATGTTAGTAAAATTAAAATTTTCATAAATCTTTATTCTTAAGTATCGAAGTCTTGAGTGATTTATACGTTCAGTCCTCTCATCCGGACGCGAAATAGTTGCAATTTGGGGACGTTGAGAGAACTGCCACTTTTCTTTATGTTATAATTCGTTAAATATCCTTCATTGAAATTTTTGAATATTATATCAGTTTTGTTATATCGAACTGAGGTTTAGCGTATCGATGTAAACTAATACTAACAGCGTGATGCGACTAAGTTTTACTCTGGCTCATTCTAATTATTAATGCAATAATGAAGTGTGTGAATGACGATATGAGAGAGAGAGAGGAGTGAATGTTGAGATGACGGCTAATAGAAGGAATGGAAGAGAAATATTAGCTGTGCCGACCCCACCTAGTTGGGATAAGGTGGAGAAAAACAAGAAGAATTATTAATACAATAATTATAATAATTAATTAGTATAAATAAATGTGTTAATAAAAGCAAAATCTTTATAGAGTTATCTCAGTGTCAAATGAGAAGACGCGCCTGCATTACGTCGACAAGCAGAACAATAATGTGAACGGCACGCCGCTATACACCACGGTGCAGAACAGCGGTAACTTACACAAACAATGGCTCGGAGAGAGGAACACTATTATTGAACAGTAAGCTTTGATATTTTTCTCGCGTTTTATCCATTCTAAAGTCGTCGTGGCCTCAACGATAACACGCCTGGTGAGTGATGCCACTGTGCCAAGGTTCAAATCTCACGAAGAAAAACAAACTTAATATGTATCCATGAAATCTAAGGTGAAGGAATAAAAACGTGTAATAAGATGAAACTCAGAAATTTTATGAATTTGCTTCATACCTACGTACTGTTAGTAGTGAGAAGGCCGAACTCTTTTTAAAAACAGGATTTTTTCTAAACTACAAAATAGTTGTAAAGAATAATTAATTATAATAAAAGAATTCGGAGGTAGTGAGGAAAATTGGTAAATGTCAAACTTCAATTAATATCTGACTCCCGCCCCGCCCCCTCACCCCCGCCGCCACCTAAGGCGCGGCCAACTAGTTCCGCGCGCACTATAGACTTACTGCATTTTAATAGTCTGTATAGTAGTTCTCGTCAGTCTGCCTGTTTCGCATATCCGTGTGGTACTATCCTACCACCAGCAATAATGATCACAAGATATGCTTTAATTTTTCAGCAACATGAACAGACTCGGCATAGAATTGGGCGATGTCAATATTATAGTGCACGCCGTTAATTTGAAAGGTGAGTGGACGGGGCTATCTCGACATGTTGGTAATTAAAATAAAGGCAGTCTAAAGAAATTATACTGTTGGTATTTCGATGTAAAGGTTAATTCAAGTTGAAGAATGGACAACAATATTGATTTACTGAGCTATCATTATTTTAGAGAGTTTATATATACTGATAATAATTCTCTTTCCTGCTTATCACAATATACATCAAATCTGACTTCGGCTGTCTTTCTTCTGTTGAATATATCTTTGCAATTCAGTTTCGGCATACTAGTAACAAATTGAGAACATTTTATTGTAACTAAATGTAACAACGTAAGCATCTTTTTGTTTCGGGGACTAAAAGTGAATTCCCATCCCACTAATGTTAAATTAAGCCTAGGTTTTACTTTTTTCTTTTTTTTTCTCCTACCTAAGCTGATGAAGCCTTGAGAGGCTATATCAGCGGCGCCTTAACTAGTAGGTGAGCTCACGGGGCTCAAACCTGATGACGTTGCTAACACGAACCCTAGCAAGAGCCGTGCTTCGCAGAATCTACCGCCGGATCGGAAACGCGACCCACTGAGAAGATCCGGCGACAAACTCAGTGGGCTGTGTCTGAAGGTTAATTTACTCGTCGAGCCCTTCGTCCCAAGCAACGGGTTCGACGAGAACGGTGACCGGGGTTTTAATAAATCTCAATGTCTTGAACAGGTTACAAGTATATCGTCCAAGACAACTGCCAGATGGTGTACGAGCCGGAATGGTGCGAGGTGCCGTGCGGGTACGCCTACCAGGCCGTGGTGAAGGACGTGAGCGCGCACGTGGTGCAGGAGGTCAACAGGTTCAGCACGCTGCAGGAGGCCTACCCTCCCGGGGACACTGTGTTCCTGTTAACGCCCGGACAGTACTACGGGTGTCTGGCTACTGTGAGTTACTTGCTTGTTTATGAGAATTAACTATCCGCTTGTTATTATACAACTATAAGTACGGTGTGGAGGTGGGTGTCGAGTGATATAAATGCGATTATGAGAAAAAAATAAGGTCGAGCAACATTTTGAGATGATTACTGGTAGGACCTTTTGTGAGTCCGCACGGGTAGATACCACCACCCTGGTTATTTCTGCCGTGAAGCAGTAATGCGTATCGGTTTGAAGGGTGGGCAGCCGTTGTAACTATGCTGAAACCTTAGTCAAATCTCAAGGTGGATGGCGGCATATACGTTATAGATGTCTATGGGCTCCATTAACCACTTAACACTAGGTCGTCGGCTCGTCCACACACCTAAGCAATAAAAAAAAATATCTATGTATGGATTTTGTTATTGGCAACATTGGCTTAATGCACCAATTTTTTAACTATTGTACTAGATCTTTTACGAGTGTACCCCCTGGTATTATGTTTACTGAGGGATTATGGTTCTCATTGCGTTGGCTTTTACCTTTGATTAATTACCTCGATGTCTTTTGAGGGTGCTAAAACGAAATAAATTAATTATGTAACGACTATTTTTTGCCCGCGACTTCGTCCGCATGGTATGGTTCACAAATAATGCTTTATTTTAGAACAAATTTGGTTAGCATAAAAAACGTTATAGTGAGCCAACCTTAATATATAGACATATGCTGTCGCGGACTTTTTTTTAGGTCTTTTAAAGGGAAACAATTCTGTCACACATAATTTTAGCGAAACTTTAACCGTTTCTGCAGCGCACGCAGCGGAAGCTTACAAAAGGGAAAAAAAACCCGATTTTGAAACATTCTTTTTGGGTGCTCCGCTTGTATTAGTCTTAGCGTGATGTTATATAGCCTATAGCCTTCCTCGAGAAATGGGCTATTTAACACTGAAAGAATTTTTCAAATCGGACCAGTAGTTTCTGAGATTAGCGCGTTCAAACAAACAAACTCTTCAGCTTTATAATATTCGGCCCGCCCTCGCTTCGCGTCGGAAACATTAAATTTTATTATTGACTAGCGACCCGTCCTCGCTTCGCTTCGGAAGCATTAAATTTTATTATTGATAGTTGAGTCCCGCGGGACCTCATACAACGCGAGTCCTACTACAACGCGAGACCTACTACAACGCAAGACCTCAACAACGCGAGACCTCGTACAACGTAAACAATAAAGTCAAAGTCAAAGTTTACATTTGTAAAGTAAAATAGTCATACGCTTATGACTACATTTAAATATAGTAGTATTACACGCTAGTATTACATAATATATTTATATCGCTTCGCTTCGGAAACATTAAAATTTATTATTGATAGCTGAGTCCCGCGATGTTACCTGCGATTATTATCGTACCGCGGGTGACGCCGCAGGGCGAAGCTAGTCTAAAAAAAGCAGCCTAAGTTACACTTTATATCATCAGCTACCTATCAGTGAAAGTCTCTTCAAAATCAGTCCAACCGTTCCAGAGATTAGCCGGAAAAAACTGACAGACAGACAAAAATTGTAAAAAATGTTATTTTGGTGTATGTACCGTATATATGTTCATATGCATGTAGTAAAAAGCGGTTATTTCAATACTACAAACAGACACTAATTTTATTTATATATGCATAGATTATAATTTTAGTATAGATACTGAATATTATGTACCGATACTGGATACAAGATGGTATATGTCGTGCCGCGTGCAGGTGGTGGAGTCTGCGCAGGTCCGCAGCGGGCGCATCAAGGTGTCGGTGTGCGAGAGCGTGGAGCCCACGCCCGTCGCCGCGCCCGCGCCCCCCTACAAGAGCTGCCAGCACGCCGCGGCCGCGTGCGGTCTGTATCGCGCCGTACTATTCCACGTAATACTATACAGGGTGTCCCACAACGAGTATATCAAGCCGCCCGGTTACCGGTAAATTAACCCATAGATACAGACCACTGAATTTCTCGCCGGATCTTCTCAGTGAGTCGCGTTTCCGATCCGGTGGTAGATTCTGCGAAGCACTGCCCTTGCTAGGGCCAATGTTAGTAACACTCCCGGGTTGAGCTCCGTGAGCTCACCTAACCACCACCTTAAGGTCACGTGATTGAAAAAACATTTTTTTTGAATCAGCCTAATACGCATACACTCCGCCGGCGCTACTAGCCGCTCTGACTGTGTCAAACAGCTTCTTCTGTCTTTGCAATAAAGGTGACATTTAATAACAACCGCCATAATACGTTTGAAATTTGTTTTGAGTTTTTGAGCCTTATGAACTTCGTAATACGGTTGCAATTTTTATTTTTATTAAATTAGTTTTTGTTATGAGACATGGCGGGACACCCTGTATAACATCCATACTTTCAGCTCTTCAAAAAATGTCTTTCATTTTAAACAAAATTTAATGGGTTTTACACGGCAGATCGCCATCGTATTATGAGGCCTGTTGTTACCGTCTTCCTTCCTATAAGTATATTTGCGCGATGAAAATTGTGCATTCCAGTTTGAAGGATGGGATAATTTAAATAATATTTATTTATGGTAACTTTGGCATGTCATGTGACATGACACAACAATAAACTTTGAGCTTCACTTTTCATCTGTGATAGAGAACAAATTATCGAGCCACCACATAGAACCAGGTATGTGAAGGAAATGTCGTGAGACTATCAATTGATCTGGTCAAAGTCGTCATCGTCCACAAATCCAATCATACGTTTGTTTACAAGAACCTCACAGACGTGTCGTATGGCGCAGGTGTCACTAATCAGATGCTGTCGTGCATCACGGGATGCGTGTTCGTCGTGGAAGGGACCCGCGACGGACGGTCAACAGACAAACTCAAGAAAATTAATATCGGCCTCAATTTAAAGTTTAATAAAAAGGTTTGTGGTTTTTTTGGTGTCTATTCATGCGTAGCTACCATTTAGCTAGTTGATTGGAAACTGTACGCGCTGGGGTCCAACACTTAAAAATTCTTAATTCTCTTATTCCGCTTCGCTTCAGGTGATCCGTTCGCTGTTTCGCTTCGAGTAGTTCCGATTACTGACTGTCGATACGACATCCCTAGAATTGTCGAGAACATTCCTCACAAGTCGAGTATTTTCGATGTGTGTTTTTGCTATATGACAATAGATGGCGTTGTACTTCTCGATCGTTCTAGATGTTACTAGATCTTTTGATATTCGTTTCGGCTATTCAGCGATAGATGGCGTTACTCTTACCGGCGTAACAATATAAATGTTGGTTCAGAATCAGGAAGTGGCCGGGTATACGCGGCGCTGCGCGGTGACGGGCGCGTGGCAGTACTCGGAACGCTGCGTGCAGCTCGTCAAAGATTACGCCCAGAATTTCCCGGAACTGTTCGACAAACTCGCGTCGTCGTCGATAAGAGACGTTTTCTTTGAGAGCGATCTGTGGCCTGGAGAAGTTGGGTGAGTTTTTATTTTATTTTTTTATAGCTTAGATGGGTGGACGAGCTCACAGCCCACAGAACTTCTACAGCGTAAATGCCGCCACCCACCATGAGATATGAGTTCTAAGGTCTCAGTATAGTTAAAACTGCTGGTCCACCCTTCAAACCGAAACATATTACGCATTCAATATTCACATATATGTCACACGAATGCGTGAGCTACAGGGATATTCATCGATAAAGCGGCGCGACGTGCTCACCGTCATTGACAACATCAGGGGCACAGTTAAGCCGCTGCCTACCTTATTACCTAATTAAAAACATTATTTTTCTTACAGAGAGAAGAAATACCAGGACGTATTACAGTGGATCAAAAACCAGCCTTTCCGTCGCGCGCTTCGAAGGGATTGTGGTTCCGAGGCCTTAGAACCTGAAGAGATGAAGGCCCTGGCTGATAACATCGACAAGCAGCTGGAGATACTCAATGCCAATGAGAGGAAAATCACGATGCAGGTCAAGTGGAATCTGCTTTATAAGGTTTGTAAATATTAATAAAGTTTTATATGCTTTTTTTTAACACCTTCGCTGAGGTTTTGAGTTCACGACTCGTGACCCGCTTGATGCTGAATGGTTATGAGAATATCTCAATACTCGTGCATCGCGGTTGGAGTTTCAAGCGCGTTATGAATCTATCAAATCGAAATCATCTGAAATGAAGTCGTCGTGGCCTAAAGGATAAGATGTCCGGTGCATTCGTATTGAGCGATGCGATCGAATCCCAGGCGGGAGCCAATACTTCTAATGAAATACGTACTCCACAAATGTTCACGATTGATTTCCACGGTGAAGGAATAACATCTATCTATATAAAAATGAATTGCTGTTCGTTAGTCTCGCTAAAACTCGATAACGGCTGGACCGATTTGGCAAATTTTGGTCTTGAATTATTTGTGGATAGATAGGTGTAGATGTGTGTTCCAGAGAAGGTTTTAAAGGTAGATAATTAGGTTACACCACCCTGTCTATTTCTGACGTGAAGCAGTAATGCGTTTCGGTTTGAAGGGTGGGGCAGCCGTTGTAACTATACTGAGATCTTAGAACTGATATGTCAAGGTGCGTGGCGCATTTACGTCGTAGATGTCTATGAGCTCCAGTAACCACTTAATAACCAGGTGGGCTATGAGCTCGCCCATCCATTCAAGCAATAAATAAAAAAAGGTACCTAAAAGCACCGTTAGTGGATCGAGAGGATCCGTAATGACGTGTTTTGGGAAACGTCGTGTCGTGTGTCAGCGTGTAGACCGTGAGGAGTTCGCAGGCGGAGTTGCACACGGGCGAGGTGTCGCCTGACCGCGCGGCGGACTACCGGCTGTACGACCGCGTGGTGTGCGTGGCGCGCGGGCTGTGCGTGCCGGCGGGCGCGCGCGGCACCGTGGCGGCGCTGCTCCCCCCGCCCCCCGCCACCTCCGTGCGCCTCTCCGACCGCCTCAACGCCGCGCACACCTACCTCGTGATCTTCGACCGGCCCTTCGCGGGTGCCCTGCACGACGACTGCTTCGAGGAGAACAGGCTCTACAGGTCAGCGTCAACGTGAACAGACCTCTTTCATAGCGAATCAAACCGTGAAAACGCCATTAAATCGTATTTGCTAATTTAAAGACATAGATAAGATAGATCTTTTAAGATTAAAAACAAATACGGATTGTATGTAAAAAAAAATATTAAAAAATAATAAATATATCCACACTAATGAATTACAATCACAAAATCATACATATGCATTTAATCAAATAAATCAACTAATAAAAAAGTAACTAAGTAATTAATAAAAAATAAAAAAGTAACTAAGTAATTAATAAAAAATAAAAAAGTAACTAAGTAATTAATAAAAAAAAAAAAAGTAACTAAGTAATTAATTAAAAATAAAAAAGAATAATCGATATAAAATTGAATTCACAGAATGCGACCGAATCAGCTACTGAACATATCGTACGGTCGGAAGATACGTCAGGACGTGCGGACGGAGCAAGCCCTGGAGCCCTTCAGCTACTTCCGGCCGGTCAGCCTGCTGCGGAAAGACGACGGACATCACTCCGCTTTTGCGAGCTACAGGTATTCTTTTTGCGTACATACAGCGTGCGAGGAAAACCTTATCCAACCCTAAAACGATATTTAGGGACAAACGGGGAGTAAACATACAGCCAGCAAGAAAATGTCAGCCTAAATTTTCAAAATTTTCCTATATATTGTTTTTTTTTATTGCTTAAATGGGTGGACGAGCTCACAGCCCACCTGGTGCTAAGTGGTTACTGGAGCCCATAGACATCTACAATGTAAATTTGCCACCCACCTTGAAGGTCTCAGTATAGTTAAAACGGCTGCCCATTCTTCGAACCGAAACGCATTACTGCTTCACGGCAGAAATAGGCAGGGTGGTGGTGCCTACCCGCGCGGACTCACAAGAGGTCCTACCACCAGTAATTACGCAAATTATAATTTTGCGGGTTTGATTTTTTATTATACGATGTTATTCCTTCACCGTGAAAGTCAATCGTGAACGTTTGTTAAGTACGTATTTCATTATAAAAATTGGTACCCGCCTGCGGGATTCGAACACCGGTGCATCGCTAGGTAAGAATGCACCGGACGTTTTATCCTTTAGGCCACGACGACTTCAAATATTATTTGATAACAACGTATCAATATTTTAGGGAATTTCATTATCATCCCCTTTTCTAATAAGATGTCTCTATAGGCGTATATGTATGTTCTTGATTGACCTATGAGAGCCTTTATTCATGTATAGCATAATCGAGTGAGTAACCTCATGGCCCACCTGTTGTTAAGTCACCTTGAGACTTGAGGTTTATGTCTCAATAGTTACGCATATTACGATTCTTACGGGTTTTTTTATTGGATATTATTTCTTCATCGTGATGAAGTAATTAATGAACATTTCCTTAGTGTTTTTTTAGATTTATTGTTACCTGACTGCTAGGTTTTTGTTTATGTATCGTAAAGGGATTTGATATATAAGGCCGTCAGCGCAAAAGTGGCCTAAGCTATGGTAAGCTATGGTAAGGCCTAAGCATAGTTAGTATGGAGGCAATTAGGTTAGAATTTTCATGAATTTGAATTTGAGTAAGCAAAAAAAAAACAATATGTCCAAAAATAATGTTTTCAAAGCTATCTGTTATGTATGGGTGAGACTAGGGATAGGCCGGTTTTGAATCAAAATTTATTATATTTTAAATAAATTCCAATATACGTCATATAAGCTTGAATATAAAAAATGTGGGTTAGGCCCCTTTTGCGCTGATGGCCTCGTGTATAATTAGAATCAATTCAAATATATTAATAATGACACTTGCCTAAAATTGTTCTCAGTCCTCCGGCGGATAAGAGTAATGGTGTCGAGATGAATTCGCCACCGCAGGTAATTAACAAACTTATTAAAATATAATAGTAAAAGTTGGCATATTAACTTTGAATGCACGGGCTCAAACCTCTATTCGTGTTATGTGGTAATCATTGCCCATGGACATCACAAGCTTAATGTTACAATCTATACTAATATTATAAAGAGAAAAGATTTGTTTGTTTGTTTGTATTGAATAGGCTCCGAAACTACTGAACCGATTTGAAAAATTATTTCACTGTTTGGAAGCCACACTATTCCCGAGTGACATAGGCTATAATTTTTTTTTTTTTAAAAAAAGTGATCCTTAATAAAACTCCAATAATGTAAGGTGTAAAAAAAAAACCTAAAATATTCTTTACATCACGTGCCCTGCGAAAACTTGATGATAGAATAAAATAATGTACTACGACTTTGTAGAACACTATTATTTACAAAAAGTGTCGCGACAGCATATGTCTAACTATTATAGTTATTCCGCAATAAGTGTACTTTTATTTAAAAAAATAAAACAAAGTCGTTGAAATTTTTATTAATGACCCGAGCGGAGCCGGAGCGTGCCGCTAGTCCCTTATAAGATCGAATTTTTTTTTTGTAACTACCGTCCTTCAAACCGTTACTCATGACTGCTTCGTAGCTGAAATACACAGGAACGCTGTACCTAACCGTGCGGGCATACAACACGGTCTACCGCAAGTAATTAATGCAACTTTAATTTCTATTAAACATCGGAATGAAAGACATTTTTGTACAGGATTTTAGTACTTATTATGTTAGAAAAATTTTGTACCTGCGGTGAAACTCGAACCTCGGTACAGTCGCATCGCTACGAGTACACCGTCTTATCCTTTAGACCACGACGACAATAATTAAATATAGTTTAAATCGATTATATGCTGGTTTATTTATTTTGATTTGCCAATGCAATTGGAATTTTCGTAAACTGGTCATGACAGATGTAACAACTGTATTGTTTATTTACCAGGATAAAGCAACACATCTACTGCGTAACTTGTTGAGGATCAGCGAAGATAACCCGAAGGCTAATAACAATGTGAGGGCGGCTTTTGTATGAATAATTCGCTCTCTATACTATATCATGAGCTTCCATTGGAACACCAACCTTTCTGTCCGTATCAACTTCAGGCTTAAATTTTTTTTCCAATGTCTTATTAAAGCTTTTTTATTGCCCTTATAGGCAGACGAGCATACGGCCCATCTGATGGTGAGTGGTTACCGTCGCCCGTGGACTACAGTAGTGCCAAGCGTCCAAAGCACATTTTGGGAATACGATCTTTTGTCAATTACGTACTTGATTTTTTAATAAGAAAAAAATCTAATTTAACATTTATTATGTAATTCTCTGTTTCATGTTATTAGCTCCCGAGTGAATCTAACCAGAGCTGGCGAATCAAGCCGGACGTCACTCCGCCGGCCCTCCCGCAGCCCCCCAGGTATGTCACGCGTCCTTTATTAGTTGTTATGGTGGAACTATTCCACCATTTTTTACAACTTTGTGGGTGGTGTTCTTACGTGTAGTTTCTGTTTGCGCACGTTTAAGAACAAGATAGGCTACCATAGCCATATTGGAGCGCATGAGAGGCGCGGAAATTAGCTTTTAAGTTATTGAACAGAAAATTTTGGTTGCCGTTGCCAAAACCGGCCATGATGATGATTAGTTGTTATCAGTGAGGGAGGAGCTGAAGGATCTTCTCTCTCCCTCTTACATACGACAATGGTGGCTTAAAGAATATTGCCATCTTTTGTTCTCCGTGCCTTCATTTAAAACTAAACGCAACAGGCTCGTGCACGATTTCATCGTGTTTTATACTTTCGATTATATTATGAGTCGTTTGGCAACCAAGCCAGTTTTTTTTTTTTTAAATAATAATTGCTATAAACTTTTTTTTTACGGCAACCCTATTCGTACACGTTCAAAGACATTTTATTTGTTGAAATATAATTTTCACTTGATCATCAAATTGGTGAAGGTCGATCTTAGTTGTCGAATATTAGACTATTGTAATCATTCTCTTATCATTTTAAGAACTCAAATCTATGTGTGCGTGTGTGTGTGTGTGTGTGTGTGTGTATGTATAATAAATCACGAATATGTTATCGTATAGGTTCTAATGATATATTACATGTTATTGTGTAGCACGTAGTTAAGTCTCTTAGCGTCGTTAATCGCGGATCGAGAGCCTGTTCACTGGACCACACAAAAAAGGCAGATTTATTATATTTTTTGAATGTTTCAAATGTATGAATCAAATGTAAATATAATCTAAAATCAGTTTTAATTTACCTCGACTAGTACTCAACATTTCAAGGAAATTATATAGGTGTGTATGGTTCAATAAAACAAATATATTGATAATCTTCATAATAATGCAAAAAATTCACTAAAAAAAGATACAATTTTTGTTGTTGTTGTCCATATATTTTTATCGAACTTTGACGGCTCAAGGTCATTGACTTTTTTTTAAGGGTTTTATAACCTAGTAACTAAGACCTTTAGGTCATGTCTTTTTTTAATCTATATTCTTATTTATATGAAAATTGATAATATGGAGTGAAATGAAATGAAGTGAAATAAAGATGATTACTTTGAGACATTAACCAACTGGGATGAAATTAAATGAAATGTGATGAGATGATATGGGATGAAATTTAATCTCAGTAAAATGGTGGTCAGTTACTGAAATTTTTAAGTGGACTTTTTGGAGGATTCCGAGATGTCCAGCGGTTTTGTTTCATTTTCCCACATTTGTGCACTTTCACAGATATTAAACAGTTAATAAACCACCGTTATTACACATTTTTAACCTGAAGAAACACTAATAAGACAAAATAAAACAAATCACACAACTTCGTTCCTCGCGTTCCCGCCAAAAAATCGGTCATTGACCTGCACATTATTATTTGAAATGCATTATACAGGAGCTAAGCCGCTATGCCGCTGCCTACTTCGGTAGGCAGGTAGCAGCTGCCTTAGCTCTGCCCCTGGCATTGCTGAAGTCCATGGGCGACGGTAACCACTCACCATCAGGTGGGCCGTATGCTCGTCTAAGAGCAATAAAAAAAGATGTTGAATAAAATTATTCAATTTTCAGAGTGCAGCCCCACGGGTGGCGCAAGGACGCTTCCAGCGGCGGCCGCCCGGGCCCCGCGCCGCCCAACAACTGGACCAATAACATCGGGCATAACAATTTTAAGGTAAACTTGAATTGGTACTTTTTTTTTTTTGCTCGGGAGGATAAAATTCAAGAATATGATAGTCAAATGAGCGTTTGTTAGAAATATTTTTTTTTTATTTACCTGATTATTTAATTTTTAACTGATCTTTTAATATTCATAATTGATATGAGTCAACTGTAATAGAGAAATAGAGATACAGAGAAGTCAATATATCCTAATACATGTCTCACTCAGTCTCATGCGCGTGGATAATGCCCTCGCGCTCTTACCACAGAGGTATTAAATTGAATTTTGGGGATGATTGGACCCTTGGATCTGTCTGTCTTTTTGTAAGAGGTTTTAAAATAGTTGTCTGGTGAACATATATAAAAATGAAGCATCAGAATTTACGTGAAGTTAGGTAATTATTTTGGGTGCTTTAAAGCGTCTGCAAAGCAGTTCGGCCGACGGAAAGTGTCTGGGAGTATTGGCGACTTATTTTTAAGGATATTGCCTAAAATATACGTAAAAATCAGAATTTACGTGAAGTACGTACTGTATGCGCGCGAGTTCATGTCCGTCGGGACCAGAGGCGACGCGCGGGGGACAGCTCGCCCCGCCCCCGTCCGCCTCCCCGCATTTGTCTGACGTCGAGTGTTGTCCTTGACGGTTGTGACGCGCGCTTATCGATATCGAAAATGTATGCTAACGCTATTGTTTTGTTTAACCATGACTACTCCGCTTCCAACAAGTTCAGGTAGAAAAAAACCTACACTGATTCCGACTCTGATCTGTCGGTTGTCTTTTCATTTGATAGTGATTGAATTGGAATTTAAATTTTTTCTCTATTAGAAATAAACAAGTAATTACTTATCACACATTTATTTTATTTCATAAATTGCAAAATTACCTTAAGTTACATTAAACCAAATTGACAGCTGTTGACTAAATCGGTAGTTATTATCGACATTACCATAATTAATTAGGTCACAGCACTACCGCATTCCTCAGAATGGACATGAACTCGCGCGCCTACAGTAATGATTATGTACCTTGAGTACCTGATACCTGAAAATTGGCCGTCTAAGCAAGCTAGCAGGTAGGCATGCGTTGTTAATACATACTAACACTACGCAATCGGCCATATTACGTTCGTCAGAAAATACGTGACGTCTGGGGGCCCTGGGATCTTGGACTACAACGGGATCGAATTAAACGTCACTACCATCGACTTCAAGACGGCTGATTCACTTGACAATTTGCACAGGCGTTAAGAAACGATGATACTAAAATATTTTTATGAATTCACTTTAATATCGTGATTGGTATCAATAAGATAAAAAAAAAATATGTTAATAATTAAAGTTTTCTGTTTAAGTAGGTTTTAATTAAGTTTTTTAACTACATGTATTCAACACTTGAAACTTGTGGTCTATAGACGCTATGTAGTCATTAGCAGCGGACAGACAGCGCATCGACACGAATATTTTCATTAGGATTCTATTACTACTTACAAAACGAAATTACTACTACTTACTGGTGGTAGGACCTCTTGTGAGTCCGCACGGGTAGGTACCACCGCCCTGCCTATTTCTGCCGTGAAGCAGTAATGCGTTTCGGTTTGAAGGGCGGAGCAGCCGTTGTAACTATACTGAGATGTTAGAACTTATATCTCAAGGTGGGTGGCGCATTTACATTGTAGATGTCTATGGGCTTCAGTAACCACTTAACACCAGGTGGGCTGTGAGCCCGTCCACCCATCTAAGCAAAAAAAAAAAATACATATATATGTATATACTGCCAAGTGGCCAAGGATGGAAGTCGCAAGACACACTAGAAATTCTCCGTTTATGAAATTGAAGTATTTTAAAACGATTAATATGATGTTTGTTATGATTGGTAATTAAGCAATTTTAAATTATTAAGCGCGGAACATTGTTACAAATTCATTGAACTTTATGAGAATATTTCATTTCTATTTCCCGTGTCTTTCAGGTTTTACGTGTATTTAGACTGGTCGGTCGGTATATAATAAGATATTTTTTCAAGTGACTACAAAAGGTACTTAGTTGTCGTTTGTTTGATTGTCCACAACTCAGATACATAATTCACTTGAAAACATTGATGTAACAAATAACGAGTTTATTGATGATTCGCCCCAGTTCATAATTTTAAAAAAAATCGATCTTTTATAGTTTTAGCACATTGCAACACATAATATTTTTTTATAAAGTAAATTGTAATTTTGTTGTACACCACTATTTTTGGGTTTCGGCTTAAAGGGTGAAACAGCAGTTCTACAGTCGTGACCTCGACCTCACGTGTCAAGGTCGCCAACGGCGTTCACTGTATGATGCCAATGGGCCGCAAGCTAGTACATTTAGTGCGAAATAATTTTTATATTATTAAATTTATATTAAAGTGCAAGCAACAATTTTGCAAAACATATTTATTTAATGCTTTTAAAAAAAAAAGCATACATATATTTTTCAGAATCTTTGATTTAGGAAACAAAATTTAAATTGAACTATCGGTTCCAGAACTTTTAGAATCTTTCATTTTTTTTAAGTTCAGTATGATAAATGGATCTTAAATTTTTTATTTTTGTTTTAACCCTTTTTATTATTAAATTTGTCGTCTCCGTATAAATTCTGAGTACAAATTCTTTTAATTCTGGTGGTGGGACCTCTTGAGAGTCCGTGCGGGTAGGTACCACCACCCTGTCTATTTCTGCCGTTAAGCAGTAATGTGTTTCGGTTTGAAGGGTGCGGCAGCCGTTGTAACTATACTTGAGACCTTAGAACTTATATCTTAAGGTGGGTGGCGCATTTACGTTGTAGATGTCTATGGGCTCCAGTAACCACTTAACACCAGATGGGCTGTGAGCTTGTCCACCCATCTAAGCAATAAAAAAAAATTCACACGTATTCATACTTTCGAAACATATTTTTTGTGTGTATGTGTGTGTAGTCTCTGAGTTTGTGAATTTTTCGAAAACATTAAGAATGTAGTTCACGGTCAAAGGTAATTTGATATTAGGTCACGTAACGAATTACTAATATGCATTAAATAAATTATTTTTCAAGTGACATCGACGGCATAACTCACTAGGTGTTTTCATCGAATCTATTATATCAAACTTACTGAAACCCGATTCTCGAAGGCTACTAAACTTCTCAGCAGTAGAATAAAACATTTAAAAAATAATAAAATTTTCCTCCTTCCCTCATAAATTTATAAAGCGCTTGAAATTATAATTGCAATATCTGTTTCATAGTGTAATATGTACTATATTGCCGATTCGTATTTATTAAATAAAATAAGCAGCGGCTTGGCTTTGCTCCTGGCATTGCTGAAGTCCATGGGTGATGGTGACTACTTACCATCAGCTGGGCCTTATGCTATTCCCCAGCGTTAAAAAAAAGGTGGGCCCTATGCTCGATTGCCTACAAGGGCAATAAAAAAAAAACAGAATTTACACAGATGAATACAACATATAAAATTATATTGTAAATATTTCTCGTTTTAGTTAGGCTTAGATATAGTTAGTTCTATTTAAATTTTATACTATAGCTTAGTTTTTAACGACAATCAATTTCTATAATGTAATGCAAATGTCTTCGCATAATTATGCCGATACCTCCACTACGCGACGTTGGTAAAGTTGTACTTAAAAATAATAAAAGCCAGAAAAAAAGTCTAGAAGGTAATAAAATATATTTATATTATTTCAGAATCCACCGCCGTTTCCACCGGTCCCGACCTTCAACCAGCCTTTCCCTGGCCCCTCTCAAATCCCACTCCAGAGTCCACTGCAGTCCCGCCAGTATTTCAACGTCCAACAACAGCGGCCCTACCAACAAAACTTTCCCCAACATTTGCCCAACGTTTCGGCCAACAATTCTACTGCCGCATTGCCAACCCAGCGGTCTCATACGGTACCCGTTGGCCCTATACCACAAGTAAGTTTTGTATTTAAATAATTACTTATTTGCTTTAGGACAGACATCTATACTTCTATACTAATATTATAAAAAGGAAAGATTTGTTTGTTTGTTTGTGTTGAATAGGCTCCGAAACTACTGAACCGATTTGAAAAATTCTTTCACTGTTTGGAAGCTACACTATTCCCGAGTGACATAGGCTATAATCTTTTTTGAAAAAATTAGGGATCCTTACTAACTTACTTACTAACGCCAATAATGTAACCCAAGGTGTAAAAAAAATACCTAAAATATTCTTTAAGTCGTGTGCTCTGCGAATACTATTGATGATAGAATAAAAATAATGTACTACGACTTTGTAGAACACATTATTATTTACAAAAAGTATCACGACAGCATATGCCTAACTATTATAGTTATGCCGCAATAAGTGTTATTTTATTTAAAAAAAATAAAACAACGTCAAATATCGTTGAAATTTTTGTTAAAGACCCGAGCGGAGCCGGAGCGGACCGCTAGTGTATTATTATATATTGGCTTAAAATTCTCGTTACCAGGTCATACAATCTTCAAAAGAAATGTATTACCTATCTGACTGATGAGGAACATTGACAAGAAACACGCAAATGCTTTTAATGTTTTAATCATTTTACAGAATATGAAATCGGATATAACCAATCAAAAATCTGGGATGCATCCCAATCCGCCGCGGACCGGCGATAAGGTTGTGAATCCATTCGTGCCTCTACAAGTACAAACCAGCCAGAGGTGATTAGACTTTATTATATTGTTATTATGGTTCAAACTTCCGTCTGATTCAAGTCTCTTTATTATACTGCCTTGGATAGTAGACGAGTAAACCCACATGAAGGGGTTGTCGTCGTCGCTCTCAGTGAACGCAGAGTCGAAAAGTCCTCTTTGAATAATTGTATACAAGTTGATCTAGTGGTCACTCACTTTGACTACTATACCGCGTTTCGGTTTGAAGGGCGGGGCAGCCGTTGCAATGTAGAATTGAGACCTTAGAACTCGTTTCATAAGGTCCGATAGTCACTTAAGACCAGGTGGGCAGTGAGCTCGTTCTCCGCCCGCCTGGTTTGTCTGACGTCTCGTGTCGTCTTTGACAGTTGTGACGCGCGCTTATCGATACCGATAATTTACGCTATCGCTATTGTGTTATTTCATGGTGAATAAACCATGACTACTTCGCTTCCAACAAGTTCAGGTAGAAAAACAACCTACTGAAAAAAGATACATACTCATTCCGACTCTGATCTGTCGGTTGTCTTTTCATCTGATAGTAATTGAATTGGAATTTAAAAAATATTTTCTCTATAGAAATAAATAAGTAATTACTTATCACAACTATTTTATAATTTTCAAAATGATGATAATTACATTAAACCAATTTGACAGCTGTTGACTTAATCGATAGTTATTATCGACATTACCATAATTAACTAGGTCACAGCACTACCTGAACCCGCGCGCCTACTGTAGGTAATAAAAAAATGTAATTTAATGATTACAGAAGAGCGAGTCAACCAAGCTCGTCCCAGAGAGATGCTAACGAACTGGTGACGCCGAAGGCTCACGTCGCGACGCAGCAGCAGCGCGCGGGCGCGGCGGTGCGTACAGGGCGGCGCCCCTCAGATACTCTATGGACTACGAATTAAAACATCGCACCTTCAGAATTATAGAGACTCAACCCAAAATAATGTTTCGAATAAAATTTTCAAACCGAAAAGACGTAGAGCAAGGGGATGGAGTGAAATGTTACGTTACGATACACCTTGTAAAATGAATATTTAAAAAAAAATTAGGTAATATTTAAAAAAAAGACATGCCCGCTGAGTTTCTTGCCAGTTCTTCTCAGGACGAAGGCTAGTTTTTGTGAATTGACGGTAGTTCTTTTGACGTTCAACAAGTATATACTTTCATTTATGTTGAATAAAAAAAATATAAAAAAAGAAAAGAAAGAAACAGATGGATAAGTTTGTCCCTTTTGTTAACCTACTTTTGGTCATTTGATTATTTCTATGTCATTTTTTGAATTAAAGTCGAAATCTGAAAATCTTAAAATGGGTCTCTATAATCCTAAAAGTGCGAATTGTATTTTCTACTTAATTAGAAAGATTCTGTTTCAACTTCGCATAGACTAAGTCCCTATACAGATATATGTTAGCGTCTTTTTCGCCTCTTTCGTCGAGTATCGAATCACAATAGACTTCATGAAAATTTCACTACAAGAGTTGTAACTGTTTGCTTATTTGTTAGAGTGAACATAGAAATTATAGTCAAAAGACAATCTTATTTTAACGTGGTAAATTAGTTAAGATATTTTTTTTATTCTTTATTAGAGCCATACACCTATTAGGTTAAGTCAGCTTTAGTTAAGATTAATGAGCCTAATGGCTCATAAGCCAAAATATTAATTTTGAAACTGTTTACGAGCATGTAAATACTTTACAGGCGAATCAACAGAACTCTAGTGCAGACGTGAAGCCGCAAAAGAAGAGGAAACAAAGGATAGCAGCCAACCTCCCATTTCAAGAAGAGTAACGATCGCAGATCATTCGAATAGCAAATGTACTCGATAATCTGTAGTCTGTGTAATGCATTCATTTTTTTTTTATTGCTCTAGATGAATAAACGAGTTCGCAACTCAACCGATGTTAAGTGGTTAACGGAACCCGTAGACATACAGTGAAAGTGTTCTTTTCCTACCCACATACCAGTGTAGGTAGTAGTAGTATTAGTATTAGTAAAAGTAGCCTAAAGGCTGTTTGAACTACTCGCGGATCGATACGTGAGCTCACGGGCTCGACCTAAGGGAATTTTCTAATACTAGCCCTAACAAGAGCAGTGCTTCGCTGAATCTACCGAATGATCGGAATTGCGACCCACTGAGAAAATCTAAGGCTAGTTCGCACGTCGACCTCTTCGATGCCAACGGTGACCAATGCTTGAAGAGCCTAAACCCACCAGTGCTCGTTGCTTATCGGCTGTGTCATTGTTACAAGCGGAGCGGAAATTGTGGTCCAGGACCCGCTTACAGCACGCCCCCATCACTAGATATCGACAAAATATGAAAGGCTATTTGGTTTAAGCGAAATTTTTGCTTACTTTACAGGAGAGCCATATAAAATAAAAAATATTAAGTATAAAGTAAAAAATATTATAACAAAAAAACTTCTTCAGCTATTTGAATGGAGTAAACTTAACTGAAGTTCAATTAAAAACATCGAATTGTTGATGCTAATACCAAGCAAAACGAACATTTAATAACAAAAATAAATGTCGCATATTGAGCGAAATGTCGCTTCAACCAACTATAATAGTTACTGGTGGTAGGACCTCTTGTGAGTCCGCGCGGGTAGGTACCACCACCCTGTCTATTTCTGCCGTGAAGCAGTAATGCGTATCGGTTTGAAGGGCGGGACAGCTGTTGTGACTATACTTAAGACCTTAGCACTTATATCTCAAGGTGGGTGGCGCATTTACGTTGTAGATGTCTATGGGCTCCAGTAACCACTTAACACCAGGTGGGCTGTGAGCTGGTCCACCCATCTAAAAATAAAAAAGAAATCCTTTCACCTCTAGATATATAGTAATCTTCGATCAACGAAAACGTTAAAAACACAATCATTTTCCATCGCTAATATTCAGAGTAAACATTAAAATCGTATTTTAGTATCTGTAATTGTAAGACGAACTATCGGTAAGCGTTTCCTTTGATCTCTTGTAAGTTTTATTCTTCATCCACTATTGTTTATAAGAACATAACACTATTGATACAGCCGCCATTGATACACACACACACTTCAGAAATAATAATGTCTACAAATTATCAAATAACAATAGAGCAGCTGTTCAAACATTCTTTGATGAATAATAATTATTGACAGCCATTACATGAATCATGAATTTGAAAACATTTCATTTCTATAATAATTAACTATAAAATATCATAGTTTCTCATTTGGTTAATGTAATTAAAATGTATTGATATGTATATACATATATTTTCAAGTAAGTGGTTGACGTGGTTAAGTGCATTTTCAATGTCAATGTCAAAGAAAACTAAATAGTAATGTTGTGTGTGTATACTATTTGTTTTCTTGATCATGGAAATTGTAAATTATTTGACAAAAAATTAAAAATGTATAAAGTTAATTCGAGATTTGGAATGCTTATTAACTAAGTTTATGGCTCGTGAATACTAAATTGATATAATTGTAAAAATGATAAAATGTGCGGTTGTGTTTGTTCGTGGATCATTTAAGAGATTTAGTTGAAGCTGGACACTTTGGTGGGAATCGGTAGGTTATCTGTATAGTACCGTCCGCGCCCGGCAGGTGGCGTGCGAGTGATTTGAACAAATTGTTATATTTTATACGATAATCGTATCGAGAGGTGGCCGGGATCCACTAGCCGTTACATAGAATAAGCCTTATAACATTGTGTTCTATGTACGCGAGACGTGTTCTTGACATTAGCGACCGGACATGCATATATCTCAACTTGAATATTACAAATCGTATTTTTTAAATTTATAGGAATTTGGGGGGAATAGGGACGAGAGGAAGAATAGAGTCAAATCTGGGATATTTTTGTCGGATTGTATTCAGATTTAACTTTGTTGAACTGAAAATGACTTATTTAGTGCTTAACAATATATTAAATAGTTTAATTTAGTCATCAAAGTTTTGTAACTCATTAAAGATATAAAAAGTTAATTACCTAAAGTTAGGTACCTACCTAACAACTAAATAGTGTCAGCCCTATCGAAAAACTATTGTCTCCATACGTAACCCGATTCACCCACGCCTGGGTGAATAGGGACAAGTTAGTTTTTTTTTAAACTTCTTATGATTATTTTTTAATAAAATATATGTTAATGCATTATCAATGAAAATGTCAGCCTCCGGAACAATTATGATCTCCGTTTTATTACTAAAACTACAAAACACAAATCAATGTCAAACTTAAATAGTGTCCCGTTTCCCCCCATTTTAGGGTATTTATTTTTATTGCACACATAGATAATAACATCTAAACAATATGGAAAGTATAAAGAGGGGAGCTGTTTAACTCATACACGAGTTTTGTTCCAGCTAACTGCAATCAGTAACACATGTAGGGCGAAAGTGTATGACTAAATAAATTTATCAAAATATCAAACATACAATTTGATAGTAAATCGTTCTTATCTATATATTTTGCTACTATAAGAGTAATATATATGACGGAGAATCTGGATCCATGTTGTTTTTTAAAATGATTTCCTTCATTATTATTTTCTTCCATACATAGTGACAGTAATTAAAACTTACTTTTTCAAACAATTCCTTAATATAAGGTAATTTGTTCTTTAATTTTCCTGAATACCGTCTTAAACAATTGTTGACATGTGTTGGACTCAAAGTTATCCAACAATATTAACACTGAGGAAATAGTTAACTCTAACCATCTTAATTAACTAAATAGCAAAGTTGCGTCTATATATATTTATTTAAATAATTGTTTCTAATTTATTGACAGCCGAGATAACTAAAACTAAAAATAAACTACATAAAAATCAGTATTGACTATTGTTATGAAATGTATTTCCGATCTCTAATGTCTAGACTCGACCTACTTAACGTACTACGAATTGATGAAAGAGTACAAAATTTATTCAGAAAATATCGAAATTATTTATTTTTGATATGATATTATGTAAATATAAGTGTCATCGTAATTTTAATGTAGTCCTAATTACGAATTTCATAAATAGATTAGTATTTAGGATTCGTTTGAAAAATATTTCATTAATTCATTAAACATAATACCGTAGAAAAAAATATATATTTCATTGTACTTAAATAGAGTAACAGAATAGTAAATATGTTACTTTCAACAAATAAAAACATAAAACTTGATGTATCAAAATGCTACCTTATTAAAGTGATATGTAATATTTCAATGAATAAATGTCCAGTCACAGAGTCATCCAGCTTATGATCGAGCCAATCAGCTTATGACCGCACACATAATTTTTTATTTTTTTCTTAACACACATATTATTATAAAACTACTCCAGTAGTTATTTGTAGCTTCATGACTTATGACACATAAAAAATAATTTAAAATATTTTTTTCTTTTCTTAAAACATGATTTAAAAATGACCCGACTGGTTAATTTTAATGTTTGTAAACTATATGTATGCGATTATTCAATGTTGCAATAATATATAATCGAATGATTGCTAACGGTATTTAAATAATCGATCCAATAAACGATAATTCGATTATGTATCGTTACAACATTGTCGACGAGAAGTCTACATATGACTTATTTATTGTGTGACAAAACAAGCCAGTTAAAAAATAGTTGTATAGACTTGTGAACGAGCCGACGCCCTGTCTGTTGTTAAGTAGTTACCGGGGCCCATAGACATCACTGAACGTTTGCCGCCACCCACCTTGTGACTGGTGTTCTGTCTCAGGTGTAATTGTGAAATGGTCAAAGAAAAAACAAACAAACAAATACCACTCATAATATGCTTTATATTATACGATATAAAGGCGTCAGTGCTTTAGGTGAAGTATACATTAAATAATATAATGAACCACCATCGGAGTGATGGCCATAAATATGTTTGTTTGTTTGAATCGACACGTTTACGTGAGGCCTATCTGTATTCTTAGTGCGAGTTTTTTAACGTTCTCGATAGCGTAAAAGCTAACCCAATTTTGTATGCAGTTGGAACAGCGCCCCTAGCGGCAAACGTAGGCAAACGATCTCTCTCCATACAAATATGAGCTAACTTTTAGGAACGTTAAAAAACTCGCACTTAGCTCACTGAATGCCTTGAAACTGTTACAGTTGTAGTTAGCGCTTCATGAGAGCGTGTCGTAGTTCCATAATCGTAAGATAGGTGCCGCGCGAGTAGTTAAAACTAATGAGTATTATACAAATTTATCGATATACAGAGAGAATCATGGCCGGGTGATACTAGTCAATAATAAAATATACATTATTGATTCTGTATTGTTTGCGTGTGAAAAGTATTTAAAACACGTTCTAAAAATCAGATTCATATCATATTTTTAGATTAATTCTATATTCATGTAAATAATGTAAATATTGTGATGTGATCTGCAGAATATTCGTGACTAAGTGCTTTATGATTTTTGTTTGTTAGATTGAATTTTATTAGACGATATAATAACAATTTGCATAATGCACAATCACTTATTTATTTGTAACTGAAGTTGATAGTGTACTGACGTGTAGTTTTGCTTGCGTCATTTCATATATACCGTTGCCCCACGCGACATCAGAGCAGCATGTATCCCTAATACCTAGAAACACTTTTTTCCTACCTATTCTAGTAACCTCAAGGGGTTACTAGAATAGGTAGGTCACCTACTACCGAACTAGTAGGTGACCTCACGGGGCTTAAACCTGGCGACTAGAAACACTGCGTTCCTCCATGGCAGTTTTCCAGAGTGCATAATTAGGGCATACCATCTGACTCTAAACTTTAACTGACTAAATTCCCTTTTGAGTTTATCTTATCTCAGTTATTACGGGATCATCTCTAGCAATTCCCAAAGTACTCTCCACATAATAAATATGATTGAAAACACAGATAATGGTAAAGTATTTTTGTAGACCTAGTTTCCATGTGTTATTTTTGTTTACTCATTTTTGTAGACCTAGATTCCATGAGTTATTTTTGTTTACTCAGTGTCTCAGTGCAGTTTAACGGAATCAGACTCGCCACACTATGTGGAACTATAACTTAAGTTCAGTCTTAGAAGTTAAAAGATTGTGTATTTAAACCTCTTAATTTTAAATACAAATATTTTCTGTAAAACATATTTTTGTACCAAACGAATTTGAATTTTATCCTTTCTGCTAAACTGTCCACATGACCTCATAGACGAGTTTCGTACATGTTCTAAATGTACTGGTCGAAGTACAAGATTTATTTCCTTGTTTTGTACAATGAGTAATAATTGATTAGTAAGCTATTTGTGAGATAGTTACTCTTTAAAATCTGATAGCCATGTAAGCCATTTGAAATTGAATAATTATCCAATACATAGCATTTCAACATTTAGTTCCCTTTGTCAATTTATCTTATAATTATTCGGTAAAGATGGAACTACATATTAACTTGAACAGCTACTAATGGACGTAATGATGTCATAGATGTTATTTTGCTGTCAACATAAAAATGAAATGTTATTTTAATTTTTTTTACAAAATTTTTACAAATTTTAGTGGCAATAAAAAATAAAAGAAATAATTTAGTTTTTTTTTGTTGTTACCTCATGTGTCATGAAGCATCTAATCATCCGATTGTTGCGGTAGGTAGACATCATACAACACAAGATATCTGACAGATGCCTGAATCTCGCTTACATTTTCAAGATAAGCTTTCATATATGTACAAGTTCCAAACAACATTTGGACGATCGCTCTACTGAGCAATATCGCTCACTCAGTGGAAGATCTTCCCTTGGTCATATATCTCCCCATAATTGTTGTATTTGAAAGACTTAGGAAATTTACTAAATGTTAATTTTTATGCATATTTTAAATTAAAATCCATAGTAATAAGTTCATATGGCATGAATCCAATGAATTTGTTTTCTAGCTCATTGCAATTTGTGGAAATCTTTAAAGAGCTAGGTGATATTTTATTTATTAGCATAACTGGCAAAATGTACCTAAAACCCACCTCTTGTTGAGCAGTTAAGTCTGAGTTAAGTATGAGTGCTTATGCAATTAAGTTTATTGATGATGATGATGATTTGAAGAATTAAATAAAACCAAGTTAAGATCAACAATATAGACAAAGTTTTAAAATATTTATATAATTTATTTAATAAGTAATGAATTATAAGATATTTCTTATAAAATCTAGAAGTCCATAGCACCTTCTAAAAAGCACAAACAATCAACTTTATCTATTACAAGTTCCAAATCTTTCTTTGATATAACCTTCCGTTTATTTGATGATGTAAATGCATAAGTTTCTTTCACTATTGTTTCTAGAAACATTTCCTGGAACAGAAATGAGATAAATTGTACTACTGTTTTACTCTAGCACCTTGTAATACATTTAAGGGGGTGCTAATATTTTCCTACTAGATGGACCGACGACCTAGTAAAAAGCGCTGGGTCTCGTTGGATGCAGGTGGCAATGAACCGGTCGCACTGGAAATCTATTGGAGAGGCCTATGTTCAGCAGTGGACGGCGATAGGCTGAAATGATGATGATGATGATAATATTTTCACACACCCAATTAAGCATAAAAAATTTATTTCATCCAGTAATTTTTCCACTAACAACTAGCACAACACAATCCAGGATTTAAATTAATGGCAATCTCTGTTTGAAGGTCAAAATTTTTGGGTTACTAAGCCAGAATAAGGAAATACAGTCAAAACCGTTTACTGCGACATCGTTTAATACAACATGCTGGTTATAATAACCTAGAACAAAGGTCCCGGCTGAATGCCATATGACCGCCTTATTAAAAATATTGCTTTCTAGGACATTGGTAATAACGATATACCTCATAAAACGACCACATTTAACTAATATTTCGGAGAATTAGATCTGTTAGAACGACCGGCTAAGCTGTATTGTAAACAATTTGAATAGGTATCCACATTTGTCTTCAATGGCTATTAAAATCAGGAAAGAAAACAATAGGATTTAGTTTAGTGTAGGGTCTTTTCTAATTCTTAGAAACAAAACACGTGCATGCGGTAGAGTCAAAGCCCGCTTCTTCATATCTCTTCAGTTAGTTTGTTACTTATTTATACACAAGACGCACCAAAACTTTGTGGAGTTATTCGTGAAACTTTCAAAATGCCGCAAAGAAAAAGAAAACAAATGAATATTAAAGAAAAATCGTGTATTATATAAATATATTTTACCAATAATTCCCTATCGATTTGTTTGTACTTGCACGATACACATTAAGCATCACCGGTTGTTACGACTATCGGTTTTTACGACTGAATATGAGCAGTCCCTTCGATGTCGTTATAACAGATTTTGACTGTATATACAATGCCTGAGTGGTTATTGTTATAAAATTATTTTTTTATGAATACAAAACTAATTGCATTAAATAAAGGAGCCTTTAAGCTTTAAAAAAACCTTTTACACATCGCCGAGAACAGAGGAAGATGGTGAAACATCATGTAGAGAAGGATAATGGGAGGAGATAGTCACAACCCTCAAACATGAGGAATTCAACTCACGAAGGAAGCTTTAAAATAAGTGTCACGTTCATTTGAAATTTTAGAAATTAAAGATAACTAATTAGGATACTTACTGTCGCTTTAGTAACCAAAAATACAGCATCGCTAGATACAATATTTACATCTGGGTCCATTTTCATAATGTTTTTAATTCTCGCTATAGGAAGCTTTGTAGATCTTATAACTTCAGTTTTCTGTTTCTTCTCATGTACTTGTTCCTCAGAGTTTAGTTCAAATTCTAGTTTGTTATTTTCTGCTTCTGTAGCCTCCGTCAGTGCAAATTTAAGATGTTCATTTTCTAGATATGATTCCGAATGCTCTGTAATATCTGAAATGTCGACATCTTCGTGGCATTCTTCTTCAGACATATTTTGTAACGATGAAGGTTTATATTTACGGTGTAAAGTAAATAATAGTCTTTTTCTAAAATATACCTACGAGCCAGTATAGTCTTACAGAGTGAACTTAACGAATAATATGCACTAAGTGTAATCTTTGACAATCGCAGAGTAAAATAATTTATTTAATAACTTATTTCACTCAATCAGTTATAAAAAATTAAGTTTGTAATACGTAAATAAATAGCTACAGTTTATACGTAAAAAACAAAACACAAAAATAGTTTTACCGTTTTTATTTTGTTTTATTGCATCGGTTATGCAAAGGGAACTTAGGTCACTTGCTCCTGTAATAAAAGGCCAAATATTTACGAAAAGTGAAATGGAAAATCCAATGAAACGAGATGAAATGTTAATTCATGTTTCTCCGTGAAGTTTTAAGAATTCACTTCAACGAAATTTTTGAAACAATTCAAAAAACAAAATCCACCTGTTTTATTGTTGTTGGAAACTTGCACACTCATAATTTCTAAACGATTACATACTTTAAGAAGCGCGCGGTAAGAATTGCTAAATTAAGATTAAAAAATAATTCACTAAATTTGTCATTTCACGTTCCGGTGAAAAAGTTATCTGTCACAGAGTCCTTGTTAAACATTTTAATTGGGACTTTTTGGCGGGAACGCGAGGAGTGAAGTTGTGTGATTTGTTTTATTTTGGCTATTTAGTGTTTCTTCAGGTTTAAATGTGTAATAACGGTGGTTTATTAACTGTTTAATATCTGTGAAAGTTTACAAATGTGGGAAAATGAAACAAAGCCACTGGACGTGACTTCTCGGGATCCTCCAAAAAGTCCAATGAAAAAGTCTCAGTAGATGACCACCATTTTACTGAGATTATATTTCATCTCATATCATCTCATCTCATTTAATTTGATTTCATCCCAGTTGATGTATGTCTCAAATTAATCATCTTTATTTCATTTCATCATTTTTCATAAAAATAAGAAAATAAATTAAATTAAGACAAGACCTTTAGTCTTAGTTACCAGGTCATAAAATCCCTTACATTTAAATTTTAATGTGATAATTTTACTAGCAAAGAAAACATAATTTATTCAGTANCATCTCATCTCATTTAATTTGATTTCATCCCAGTTGATGTATGTCTCAAATTAATCATCTTTATTTCATTTCATCATTTTTCATAAAAATAAGAAAATAAATTAAATTAAGACAAGACCTTTAGTCTTAGTTACCAGGTCATAAAATCCCTTACATTTAAATTTTAATGTGATAATTTTACTAGCAAAGAAAACATAATTTATTCAGTAGGTAAATGTTTATTAATGTCACAGAGTACCGAAGCTATTCGGTGTATGTATGGGTTTGCAGTGCTATTTAATAATAATTTCTTCATGTTACAAAATTTGATGAAGCCGTAGTGCATTACCACAAAGCAATAATGCGATCCAATTTGAAGATAAGCTTGATAAACTAGAACTAGACTTTATGTCTCAAGGTAGGTGGCGACACCCTGATGTTTATGGGCTTCGATAACCACTTAATACCAAATGGGCTGTGGCTTCGTACTCCTATCTACGGAATAATAAAAATCAATAAATATTGTAATATATTATATGTATGTTATATTGTATTAAATCTCTTTTATATCGTTTGAATGCCGATCATAAAGCCAATCTCCTGGTTCGTAGTTAGCGCCACTCTCTTGAGCTTGATGCCAGATATATCAGGCAAACGCGAAGAAGCTGCCTACTGCTCAAGACTCTTCACAAACTCTCCCATAGACACAACCGACTTAGTTTTTCGCCGGATCTGCTCAGTGGGTCGCGATTCCGACTCGGCTGTAGATTCTGTGAAGCCCTTGCTTTTGCTAGGACTAGTATTGGGCCCGTGAGATCACCTACCCGTCTGGGCGTAGCTGAAATAGCCCCTTGACTACCAGCGAATAGTTAGGGAAATCCACAAACTCCCCTTCAAGAAGAATGTCATAGATGTCAGGCAACACCGCGAAGGGAAGTTAGTGTAGAGGATCTCCATTGTGGTTGAATGCAGTAATTTCAACGACGTACGACTATGCCGGTTCGAATTCCACAACAATTACCAATTTTATCTAATGAAATACGTATTTAGCTAATGTTCTGTTGATGTCTATGGAGCTCCGATAACCACTTAACACTAGGTGGTTCATGACCTCGTTTACCATTCTAAGCAATAAAAAAAAAAAAAATATTAACCACTCAATGACTAGCGCAATAATACCATCTAGTAGAGCATAGAAGAACAATATGGAACTACCTGAATGTTATAATGACGTACAGTAGGTATTGAATATTTTAAATGGGGAACGTTCAGGGAGAATCTTTTGCGATCCGGAAGCGGTGCGTGTGGCATATATTAGCGCAAACGAATCCTGCAACGCGATGTTTAATTGAAGAATGCCAGATAAATGACACAATACGAACTACTAAATGATAGTGAGGCAATAGTGTACCATAACGTATAGTGCTTGCGTATAAGTACTAGGTATTATCAAGTGCAGAACAAGTTTGTTATTCGATTCCGGGAACTGTCAATAAACAAACGGCTTTGATTAAAAGCTGCTATTATTTTATCTTACATCTTAATCTTATTAATCTCAAGGAATGCTGTTATTATTAATATTCATCATATAATTACATTATGACTTGTTGACTAATAGGTATATTATTATATTATGTTTTGTTTTCTTAATTTTTTTTTTACTTTATTATACTGCATCATTTTACTTTGTAAAAAAGCTTTGTTTGTATTGACTGAAATCTTTCATTCTGGCGCAATGGTAAAATTTGTTTAATTGAAGGTAGGAGAGACGTGATGTATGTATTTTTAACGAACAGTTTTATTTCATGCGAATAAAAAACATGAATAATTAGTAATAAAATATAATTATCAGTTCATGTTGAGTATCAAAAACAGCTTTACAGTAAGGTAGGTATCAATTATTTACAATATCCAATTACATAATCGAAATCCTTTTTAATTAAAGCTAAAATTATTTTAATTTACAAACATTCTTCTTTCGTTACATACAGATTACCTTAAGCACTATGCATTATAATTTCAAATATCGTGATCATGAAGAGGTTCTACTTAATATGATATTGGTCTCATCATGATATGCGTTAGAAAAGACAACGTTTCATCGGTTACAGAAATCTAAATAACAACGAAAAAATTAGATTTCTATAGTGACCACACAATCAAATTGTGATATTGTTGTTTTAAAAAAATGATTTGTTCAATAAATCATACACAATAATCAAGGCACACTCGTTTATGAAAACAAAGATCATATCTGTACATCAATATCTACTGTTTAATTTCATTACGTATTTGTATACCTATGTAATATTTTTTTCAAAAATATATACGAATTCTTGATTTTAACACGTTGACTGCCATGTAGATCACCGGCGCTCTACGTGGCGCACTGAAGTAATTAAGTCGATTTTTAAGTGAAACTTCTTTAGTATCGTGATTTCAAACTCGATGAAACGAAAAAATAAGTCCATAGAGACGCAAACACATAAATGTATAGGATTCAGCCGGCGAGAGAATGAGATAGAACACATTAGACGTTCTCGGTCTCCTCTTTGTGCGACTCTTCGTAGCACTATCGTCTGCTAAACATTGTCCATATGTACGCTCCTGTGTAGTGCGATAGTCAGTATATCTATATTTATATCTTATCTATAAGTTTCACTTCTACCGTGTGTGACTTGCACACACACACACACATACACCCTTTTTTTTGTTACTGAACGTCTGGATAGCCTAACTTTACCTTCTTTTGTTTTTAATGTATGTTTTAGTCTTTTAGATCTCTTCAGAAAATTTTAAATTAATATTATTACTTCAGTGCGTGCAGCTCACCTAGGGCACCGGTGACATATATAGCAGTGAAAGTGTTAATAAAATAGTCAAATGATTTGGAAGGTAAATGAATAATTTATTATGTTTTCTATAATTCCCAATCATTAATTATAGTTATTAATTTTTCATTTGAATAGTCAATTAAATGCCGCATTGTAGCAAATAACTTGGTATGCATCTACATGCTATAGTCTTAATTTAAGCAACACATTTTTTTCCAAACACTCTTTTTGCCTTGTATTACTGGCAGCCCTGCTAAAATCGCGGCGTCAAACGCATCTTTCAACTGTCTTCTTGTCTTTGACGATGTTTCGATGTATACTGCATTTATCCTTGCAGCTAGTACTTTAGCCTCTGCTTCTGTTACCACATGCTCTCCTCGGTTCTGTAAGAAAGAAAGAATTGTTACTTTTTTTTATGATAGCGAAAGGTGGGTATCGGCACTGACGTTCTGATGTCCTTGGTTTCTGATAGGCAATCAGTACCAGGCAGTGAGTCTATTTGAACAGTAATACAAACATGAAAAAAAAACAGTTTAAATATGAATGAAATATCCAAAAAGTCCGATATTTTTGAGACTTGGGCAAATAACAAGACATAATGACGTAAATTTCCTGAATGTCCCAAATATTAAGTTAAGTGTATTATCTGTGGAAAAACGAATGACTCCATAATAATCCGGTATCGATAAGCAACTATTCTTTGGAATCCCATTATGACTTATGTTTAATTGTTTAAGATATCTTTAAATATATTAGTGATTATCTTTGCCATCCGGTGGTTTTTTTTCTCTGTCAAACAAATTCAACTTAACATTGTCACGACCGAGTAGTAATACCAATTGTTACTGGAATGTAGTTACCAGACCCAATGTTCAAAGTTGTATGCTACCAAAATGATATTCAATGTTAACAAATCAAATTCGCGCTTGAAATGCGGAAGAAACATTTGATGCACGATAGCACCAATTCTGAAGGTTTTCGTTCTAAAATTCTATTGGTGTACAATAAGAGCTCCTTATTCGCGCTTCCTTCATTCGCGTTTTTGCTATTTGCGGATTTTTAAAAAATGCGGTCGAATTCCTATAATCGTTGCTAAATATTTCGTTATTCGCGGATCTAATCGGTACATGCATATTGCTAAAAAAGATTCCAATTTATAGGTATCCAACCGAATGTCCTTTGTTAAGGCGCTTTTCTATATTCACGGAACAAATACCCCCAGAATAAAGAGCTTTTACTGTAGTCAGAATTAACGTCATTTTCCGTACCGACGGTATCTTTTTTATTTCTATCTACCATAAATTTCCGTGCCTCCAAATTTTTGCTTCACTTGTCCGTTCTTAAATGCACTTCTTCAAAAGTGAACGTTACCAAAGAGTTTCTCGTATTCCTGGCCGAATAATTATTATGAATTCGTGTGAGATTTTTCGCTGCGAATTCGTATAGCACAATTCGTATAGTCTAACGGACCATGAAAGCGTAAGCATAAGAAGTAGAGTGCGAAATATTTGGAATATACTTAGTAGCGTATTTCACAGACTAGGACTGTGAAATACGCAATTTCACAGACTAGGACTATATATTATTCGAATGCACAACAATTTCGTCACAAATATTTCTTCGCAAATATCGTAATGTAAGTTTTAAATTAATAGTCAAATAAAAATTATTTATATTTACCCTCAAAGTTTGTACAACTCGGGAATCCTGTACAAGATCGCTCTGCGTGCCGACGAGTATTAACGGCGCGTTCACATTAGCGACCGCCTTCGTCCACCGTTCGGCGACAGATCGGAACGTTTCCGGCCGCACTAAGGAGAAGCACAGCATCAGCACGTCCGTACCCGGGTAGCACAGTTCTCGGAGCTCAGACATCGAGTCCTGAAAAAAGAGAATTTTCTAGATTTACAACTTTGTTCAATTACTTCTTTATGTATCGTAACATAAATAATAGCTACATGATGCCATCCCATGACCATAGCGATGTAATTTTATTATGATATTTCAATATTATTAACATTTAAGTGTAGTCTTAATTAATGTGGATTATGGTCGTTGAGCTATGGCAACATTCTAATAGAATTCATAACAATTAGTAACATATTACATAGGTACTTCATAAATGATTAATTCTCAATTTGTGGCGCATTATTTTATTCTAAAGTCAGTTCGGTTTTTCCCTCGTTAATTTATTTAAATCGTTTGATATAATTTTTCATAATATAACAGAATGAAAAAAGAAAATACATATACCTAAGCCTTGACTTATATTTCTAGTTACCGGGCCATAATTTAAAAAAAAAACCAATGAGATGCATTTTTCGCTGTGTGGAGAGTAATTATATTATTTAGCATTTAATTTTATTAGGAGTAAAAATAAGTTTCCGTCGTTTTTTATCGAAAAAATAATATTTATTATGAAAGAACGGTAATTTAAATTTAATCGCAGTATTTTCCATCACTAGCAACTACTTTTTCCCATCTCTCAGGCAGTGTTCGAATTCCACGTCTGAAGAACTCCTCGTCTTTTGAGGCTATCCACGAATCAACCCAATTTTTTGTATCTTCATATGATGTAAACCGCTGCTCCGACAGAGCATGTGCCATTGACCGGAACAGATGATAGTAAGACGGCGCAATGTCTGGTGAATACGGCGGGTGAGGTAGTAGTACTGAGGTAGTAGTAATTAAGTGTTTTTAAATAATTTTTCACCGATACCGCTACATGCGGACGAGCATTATCATGGAGCAGAATAATTTTGTCATGTCTGGAGTAGTATTGAGGGCGTTTTTCCCTCAGAGCTCGACTCAATCTTATCAATTGCGTTCGGTAGAGAGCTCAAGTGATTGTTCCGCCTGGATTAAGCAACTCGTAATACACCACACCCAGATGATCCCACCAAATACACAGCATGAGTTTTTTTCCATGAATATTCGGTTTTGCTGTGGATGTTGACGCGTGGCCAGGTAGTCCCCATGATTTTCTTCTTTTTGGATTATCATAATGTATCCACTTTTCATCACCAGTGACGATTCGATGTAAAAAACTTTTTTTTGTGTGCCTAGCTTTTCACTCATTCAGCAGCATTTCACTCATGCATAATCGGCGTTCAACATCTCTCGGCCTTAATTCGTATGGAACCCAATTATCTTGTTTATGAATCATTCCTAACGATTTTAAACGATGTGAGACTGCTTGCTGAGTGACAAGTGGAGTAAGTGCAAGTTCCTTTAGTATTTGTCAGAGACGAATCTTCCTCCAATAATTCCGTCAATTCTGCATCCTCATAAATTTTTGGCCTTCCCCACCGCGATCTTTGTCTTTGCGTCAAAATTAACGTTTTTGAACTTTTGAAACCACTCACGACATGTTCTTTCACTCAAGGCAGCCTCATTATAATAATATGGTTCTACTCGAGCAATCGATGCGCCTCGGCTGCAGATTTTTTTAAATTAAAAAAGTAAATTAAAAGTTCCCGCAAATGACGCTTATTTGGCTCAAATTTTGACATTTTTGGATAAATAAAATATGATGCTAATACGGAGTTAATAATATGATAGGGTTAAGTTGTTCTTAAATGATCAACTTAATTTTCAAGCCGATTATCATCTGTGAATTCGAACGTAAACCTCGTGCCACGCCATCTTTCTCAAAACGGCGGAAACTTATTTCTTCACCTTAGAAGTAGACCGCTTCGTCTATTCATTTAGTAAAGATAACATTGTTAGTCCCCAAATGAACCGGAGCATACAAATTAAATAAATGTAATGTTTTTATATAACCGACCTCATAAAGTACGATCAAATAATGGCCTAAAGAAAGTAGTTCACACGTCCAAAGCGACTGTGAGGGCCTATGAACCAGTGAATATATATTTTCTAGTGATCAATCAAACGGTAGTTTACGCAATGTTTGGTTAAAGAGTTAAAAACGAATCGAAAACGAGCGCTAACAAAACGCTGGTCACGAGTGAAAGCGACCATCGCAACCAATCTGGAGCTACTGTCATTGTCATTGTAACAACGCTATTAAAATTTTCAACTGAATAAAAAAATAGTATGTAGTTTGAATTCAAAAATAGAACTGATGTATCGTTAAGTTGAAGACATAATTTCTTCATGGACCTTATAATGACACGGTTTGATAGATCATGAAAGCTAAAATAAAACTTAGTTTTATTTTTTATGTCCGAAATTTAATGGTAATGTGTATATATTAGTACTTACTCGTAATAGTACTATAAAATTAGCACTATTCCTTTTTAATATTTGCCATATCAAATTTGTCAAATTTATATATTTGACATATTAGGTTAATATACCTAATGCCCCTATTACTTTAGGTGGGTACGTGTGTTTGTATGTAAAGGAATCTTTAGATCTCATTTTCATTGACTAGAAGATGTCCGATTACCTTGAAAACTTGCATGTGTATCAAGGACTGGTGATGACGATACAATACAAATTTACTCTAATAGCCTGATCAGTAGTTGCAACGGGATAAAAAATGTTGGTTTGATTTGATAATATTTAGGCGTTTTTTAGATTTTAAACATTTATCTGTCGAACAAATGGCATAAGCCAGTAGGTAAAGTACGCCATGAAGATTAATAAAAGGAAAGAAATTGAATCACTTCTAAAGCGACCAATGTTACAATTACAAGATAGTATACCCCAAATTGATAAACATTTGGTAATAAAAAATGCCTTCGCTTGAGCCTAAAGCCGTATTCATTACATCACCACTGGATGGTGCAGAGATAGGCCTTTTAACAGGAAGCTACGACAAAAGATCAATTTGTTACAGTAAGTACACTGTGACCTCGGCTCGATGGTTTCAAATTGACCGTCGCACAATAGACGCTTAATTGTTATTACATAATATGGAAATAGCAGTAATTGTACATAATGCTAAAAATGACAACGTTTTCCGGACCATAGATAATATTTCAGATACACTGCATACTAGAGCCTTTGCGGATTAGCAAGAAACAAATTTACGAGGGAAAATTCGTTACTGACACTGACAATTTATGTGCATGCCGGAAACACACAAACGACAAAATAACATATTTTTCAAAGCATGTCGCTATTTAGATTGCTTGGCGTCTATCGTAAATTCTTGCTGTCGTACCGTGTACCGACAAACTTACAAGAGTGGTAGTAAAATCAACAAATCTTAATGCGGTAAGCCCGTAATCTGTATTGATTGATTATAGTTTACTGCTTTCACCAGGCTCACATCTCGCCGAATATCTTTAGCAATAAAATCGTATTGCTATATCATTTAAACATATATTTGAAGTCGTCGTGGCCTAACGGATAAGACGTCCCGTGCATTCGTGTTGAGCGATGCACCGGTCTTCGAATCCCGCAGGCGGGTACCAATTTTTCTAATGAAATACGTACTCAACAAATGTTCACGATTGATTTCCACGGTGAAGGAATAACATCGTGTAATAAAAATGAAACCCGCAAAATTATAATTTGCGTAATTACTGGTGGTAGGACCTATTGTGAGTCCGCGCGGGTGGGTACCACCACCCTGCCTATTTCTGCCGTGAAGCAGTAATGCTTTTCGGTTTGAAGGGTGGGGCAGCCGTTGTAACTATACTTGAGACCTTAGAACTTATATCTCAAGGTGGGTGGCGCATTTACGTTGTGCATGTCTATGGGCTTCAGTAACCACTTAACACCAGGTGGGCTGTGAGCTCGTCCACCCATCTAAGCAATAAAAAAAAAACAAAGTTATGCTGATTCTGATTGTTTGAAAGCGCCTTTATATATGTCACCCGTATATCTTAAGAACTGGGTAAACATTTACCAGATAATTCGACCCTTGTGAAATGTTGTCACTCCCCAATACGTAAACTGTAATCGCTTCGTTCAATACAACAAACTTTTTGATGTTATTTAACGCCTTATTGGCGATAATAGATCTGTTATCGTAATTTTGTTACTTTTAATCTACATATACCTATCTATATAAATAAGAAAAAAAACAAAAATATTTAATACCATTTTGTAACACATCTGTGAATCGATTGTCCGTTTTATTTATTTAATGACAATAAAAACAAAAGAGAAATTGTAATAAATAAGTTGAATATAAATATTGTGGTTTTAGTGATCACGGAAGTGTTTCGATTTTTGATGGTTCTAGTAATATCATCATTACGTAATAAAGAAGAGCAATTAATTGCAATGTAAAAGTTACCATCAAAGTGTGTATGAGATGTGAATATAATTAATAAGAAAGTGAAAATTGTTGACGTCCGTCGTAAACTTTATAATGCAGTGAAACTGTAGTGAAACTTCAAACTCGTCATTGAATATTTTATTATTGAAAACGAGTGGACTATGAACAGCGCGTATTTAAAAAAAAAATTCATTTCGTCTCTACGTTCGGCCAATTAAGTGACTTGAAGTCCATCTACCTTGAGACAAGAAGTCGTCAGAAGTTATCATCATGTCTCAAGGTGGTTGGCGACATCCACTCTACTTTAGGTGGGTCATTAGCCAATTTACCAACAATACGCAACAAGAAGGGGCTTTTTTCCTGCGGCGTATCACGCAAAATATTTTTTATAACATAACAAAAATTGTAAGGTGTATGTGTGAGTGAAATCAATGCAATACTAAATCTCGAACTACAAAAAGTTGAAATACAATATTTGATTCTCAGTGTTTAATCACATCCGAGCAGGTAGAGAAACTGTGCGAAAGGTACGTGTTAGGTACAATGCTAGCAACGTGAACTGAGCGAGGTAGACGTTGGAAGCATTGTCACGACGCGACGCGATGGTACTCTGGGAGATTCAATTATATTTTATGTACGTCGTACCTCAAAATTATTTTTAAGCCACGTGCTTTCAATGCCTACAACACCTGGTTTTTAATATGTACTAAAAAATCGTATCACTTCGAAAGGTGAAAGGAAGGTTTAAACGACATTTTGCTTAATAATACGCATCATTTATCTTTGTAATTATGGGTCCGTTTTATTTTGGTATTAGCATCAACAATTCGATGTTTTTAATTGAATTTCAATTAAGTTAACTCCATTCAAATAGCTGAAGAAGTTTTTTTTGTTATGGTATTTTTTTCCAAATTATAAAGTTGAAAAAAATTCGCTTAAACCAAATAGCATTTTATCCCTCGATTTAATAATTTTTCGTTCTTGTAGTATCTATAGAAATAAATAAAACTGCAGTGCTTGTTTGCGACGAAATTTTTTTTTCTTTTTTTTTCCCTACCTATGCTGATAGCCCTGGGAGTCTATTTCAGCTTCGCCCTAACATGTAGTTGAGCTCACGGGGTTCAAACCGGAGTGTTGCTAACACTGGTCCAAGCAAGAGCAGTGCTTTGCAGAATCTACCACCGGATCGGAAACGCGACCCACTGAGAAGAGCCGGCGAGAAACTCAGTGGGCTGTGTCTGTGGGTTAAAAAGTTACGGCTTTTTACTATATCCATATTCTGTACATTCGTGCATATTCATAATTTATCTATTTATCTTTTATCTATATGTATAAAAATGAATTGCTGTTCGTTAGTCTCGCTAAAACTCTAGAACGGCTGGACCGATTTGGCTAATTTTGGTCTTGAATTATTTGTGGAAGTCCAGGGAAGGTTTAAAAGGTAAATAAATATGAAAATTTTGTTTTTCCTTTGATATGTCTTTTGTTTGTTTTAAGTTTACTTTATACAAAAGTTTAGGTCTTTTATTTACCGATTGAGGCACTACAAAGAGTCTGCCGGGTCAGCTAGTTTTGAATAAATACAGTAAAATTTTTTTTGTCACTCTTTTTGTTCCGAAAAGAATCGACCGACTTTGACTGTATGATCCCGAAATACTCAGAAACGGTTTGATTGATTTCAATGAAATTTTCAGGAAGTCTTCGGAATCGTCTAGAGGGTGATCCTGTGAAGTTTGGTAGCGGTCGCATCAAAATCAAATCAACGATCGGCCAGCAAATCGGACCGGATTTGACTAGTATAAAATCAATCGGTTGGTTTAAATCAATGAGTTAGCTAGAACTGACCGAGTGGTCTTTGTTGATGATTGTATTATTTTTTATCACTCACATTTTATTTTTTATCCTACCTACCTACATTACCTTACCTACCTACCTACATTTTATTTTACTCACAGTTTATTTTTTATGCTACCTATTCGCATAAGGGCCTATTCTAGCTAATTTAATTTTTAATAGTTGGCGCTTTGCTTACCACAACCTACTGTTATTCTAATTCCTAGTGTGAAAACGAATGATTTCTGGTTTTAGCAGTTGGATAACAATATATCGAATTGTTTAGACATTAAGAGGTTGCCTTTTATCAACACAATAGTACCGATTCTGTGAAAGTAAACTAAAAGCATACGAAAGAGGCACTCAAATTGTCTCAGTCTTAAGAAATATCCAACCAGTATTAATCGTTCGTGTCGAAACAACAGAACAATGATGTTTTGATTCTCACCTGTCCAGCAGTATCACAGATTTCCACGCACACAGGCCGGTCATCCACGTCGACCACAACTGAAAATAATTATAAAACTCATTAAAAAGACGTTTAAAAAGTGAACGCACGGATGCTGGTTACGAATTTGTGATTGCGAGACCTTAATAACTTTGAATGATCCGCATTATGTGGACTTTAATTGTTTACTTAAAGTTTTTTTTTGCGTGTAATTTTTATAAAACATTTTTTTTTTCAAGACGGAATTGTCTATTGTTATGAAATCGTGTTATGCTGCATGCGAGAATTATTGTCATCATCAATCCATAGACGTCCATTCAAATTAGTTTTTGAGAAAAATAAACGAACATAAGTATGAATTATGTGAAACTTTATAATTTATTCAATAACATATTGATGTCAATAACATGCTATTTTTACTTATAAACCACAACAAAGGAAACGAGTGGATTCGATTAATATTAAATAATGTTTCCAAGAAAACATCGAAATTCTGTCTATTACATATAGCGCTATTACGTTTAAACCACAGTTTTGAAGTATGTAGGTAATTCGGTATAGAAATAATTTGAGCCCTGAGAAATAATCTATACTACTTTTCTTCCAAACCACTCTACCTTCACAGGTCTCCATCCACGTCGTTTGAAGTGTAATTCATTGTCATAGACAATATAATATGCGGGTAAAGACTTTGTTGATGACATTTCCAAAATGTCTAGCAAATTTTTCATAAAGTTTTAATTTTGTTCCGTGTTTCACGCTTTGCTTTTGCCTCTCTGAGATTATTGAATTAAGCAAATTGAATTTAATGCTACTCGAAATAAAGATGCGTGTGCGGTTGGTTAGATTTGTTGGAGCGTGTTACACGATATTTTGTTCCCTCGCTCCGGATATGCGCGGTAAACACGGTAACTAACATCCTGGCTTTTGTTTTAAAACCTGTGTTACCTGGCTACTTGTGTACGCAGGCCTTAAGCGAGTCTAGTGCTAATATTCATGATTGTGTTGTAGGATATGTCGGGTTAGCAAGTTGACTAAAGTAACTTTCTGAAATATGCTATTCACATGAACAAGTATTAAGATGTTCGCATATAATGTAGTTCTCATAAACGTATGAATGCTGAAAGTATTTTCTATGGTAGGAATACGCATACTCATGGAGAGATACTTTGGCTGTTTTACGCTATATGATACGCTGCTATTCAATTGTATAATTGACTAGGCCATTGTAGGTAAAAAAACAACAGAAAATCGAGAGTGATTCACACAGTGCTTTGATGTTATTCTTAGTCATGATAGTCAATGGAATCATCTTGGTCGGGGTAGTTGTCAAACTATAGTGTAATGTAATAGTGATTTATTTATAACTATGACAATAATCTATATATTAATACGTGAAGCAAAAACTTTGTATCCCTTTTTACGAAAATTGCGCGGACGGAGGAGTATGAAATTTTCCACACTTACAGAGAATATAGAGAAGAAGTGCACAATGCTAATATTTTTTTAAAATAATGCATAAAAGATACATTAAATCGATAAAGAAAACATTACACACACATACCATGTATTTGACGCACACACGCATGCATACTATTTGTTGTCAAATTGAGAATAGATTAAATATTGTTTGTCTTTGTTAATATTTTTTATAGTGGCGAATTTTGTAATTATAGAAATATAAAATACAATCATAATAGTGTACAAACTTACAATTCCAATTAATTATAGTCGAATTTCGACTACTGCGGGACCTCTAGTAGGAATTAAATTTACGTTTAGATTATTTTCGGAAATCCGTTGATGGTCAATTTCTTAAACGACTTTAATAAAAAAATGAAAAGATTTTCAATTCGGCTATTTTTTATTATTTGTGTGTTAGTTCAGAACTTTTTTTTAAGTGTACATAGATTTTGATGATTTTTTTTTGCTTCGAAGCTGGTGCTTCTCGTGTTACATCATTTAAAATTTTATCAAGATCTGACCGGTAGTTTTTGGGTCATTCTTTAAGATGCATATTTAATTGACTTGGACTATATTTACATTATATTTTGTCGATTTCTATATAAGTCAGATTTTTATTTTTTGTTAAAATACTTCTTTTGCCATCAAGCAATGATGGCGTTTAGTGTCAGATAATATCAGTTATAAAAGACATCACGCCAGCTTTGTAGTTGTCATTTTAATTAAACAAATTAATGTTATAGTTACGTACTTAACAGATTACGAACCGTTTACGAGCACTTTGAAAGCTTTGTGCTGTAGCCGCAAAGTTGTTGTGAAACGTATTAAATATATATATCGTAAGTACCACTTTAGCTCATGGTTCCGTATGTGTCAAAATTAACATTGCTTTAAAGCACCAGTGGATTTGACAGTTCAAGTTTAAAGTCATAAATGTAATGAGAAGTTCTGCTGATATTGGTACAGCTTGGTTGTTAATTTTTTTTTAATTTTTATTTCTTAGGTGAGTGCACGAGCTCACAGCCCACCTGGTGTTAAGTGGTTACTGGAGCCCATAGACATCTACAATGTAAATGCGCCACCCACCTTGAGATATAAGTTCTAAGATCTCAGTATAGTTACAACGGCTACCCCACCCTTCAAACCGAAACGCTGCTTCACGGCAGAAATAGGCAGGGCGGTGGTACCTACCCGTGCGGACTCACAAGAGGTTCTACCACCAGTGATTACGCAAATTATAATTTTGCGGGTTTGATTTTTATTACACGAAATGAAATTATTTGACTTTCTTTTTTTTTCATATATCTTTTTGCGTATACATAAAATTGATGCCCTTATCATTAAATAGTTTACAAATCTTTGAATCAGGCTTTCCTTGATGGTTCAACGAACATATTTGCAAACAAAATACTATTCTGTTTTAGTTTTATTATAGTACTAAAGTGGGCGACTTTGAATCAGGTACCTTACAGCTAAATACTACATAGCGTTCGTATTTTTTATATATTTTTAAGACTGCGGCTAAGTTCGAAACACCTCTATTTGTTTAGGATCTATATAAACCAAAACAAAGTAGCCTCTAGAATGACTTTCTAGTGTGTATAGATAATGGTTAATTAGTATCACGAATACAATATTTTTTTATTTTATTCATACAGTTTTTTGCATAATGAAGTCCGGTAATTTCTCTGCCTTTACATAGTATTACGATCCCGCAATAGTTGCGTAGCGACAAAATCGGGCTGTAGCTCTTTAGCCATTCAAATCTAATCTCAAAGTTTGAACACCAAGTGTTCAAATCGTAAAAAATGCAAGCGAAGTCTAGATGGGAACAGCGGGATGGAAGCGAATGACCTTCCCTGCAAATTGAATTATTTACGAACGTAGGCCATTTTGATTCTTATCAGCTCGTGTTAACGACGAATGTTGCAGTATACAATAAATCAGTTACAACTCTAGTGCTACGAAGTGAAGGAGCATTTTGCTCCGCGTAATAGATTAAGGTCAAGTTTCATAATTGGATTTGTACTGAATAGGTTTATTTGCACTTTGTAGTATTTTATATTGAACTAGAACTATTCTTATAATTTGACAAAAGTTTTGATGTTGCACTTTTTAGCATAGATACATACATACCTTTCACATTAATTTCAACATTTCAACATAAATTACTACAGTAACACGTCATTACGGATCCTCCCGATCCATTAACGGTGCTTTTAGGTACCACAAGCACCGGTCCTCGCCGAACCCGCCGCTTGCGACGAAGGGCTCGACGAGCGAATTAACCCACAGACACAGCCCACTGACTTTCTCGCTGGATCTTCTCAATGGGTCACCTTTCGGATACGGAGGTTGATTCTGCGAAGCACTGCACTTGCTAAGGCCAGTGTTAGCAACACTCCGGTTTGAGCCCCGTGAGCTCACCTACACGTTAGGGCGAAGCTGATATAGCCTCTCAAGGCTATCAGCATAGGTAGGAAAGAAAAAAAAAACTACAGTAACAAAATAAGTTGACAATGAATGCTATTAATATACCAGGTGGGTCACAGGTGACCTCAGTCCAAGAGATTACCTTTTAAGGGCAATAGAAATCGGTAATTAGTTAGAAGATACCACTGTCCGATCGACCTCCCATAGATATCACAATTGCTACCAAATTTTTTTCCGTATCTTCGCCTGTATTTTCATCTTGCACACTCGTGGTAAGGTGGTCAGGTCAGTGAATCTCGTAAAAAAGGACTAACTTACACTGAGAATGTGAAGCAGTATTATCTAAGGCTTTCGAACGTCAAACAACATTTACCAGTAGGAGGGCGTATTGTTATCACGCACCAGTGGGAGTGACCATTCTGCCTGGTCCTATCTCGATTTAATCGTGCATTCTAGTTTCCAGGGTAGGAGAGCAGCTATATCATTATATTTAAGTTGCGTTTATGCTATCTAGAGGCCTGGGTTATAGCTTAACACCAAATCAACTTGTTAATCGTATATCTATATAGGTTAGGAAAAAACAAAGATAAAATACGTCTATACAAGGTATTATTCTAAGTACATATTGAGTATGTAAATAAGTAAGTAGTAAATGTCTTCATTGAAATTACATTCGTCAAGTCGCGTAAATGCGCCAACTACCTTGAGATATAAGTTCTAAGGTCTCAGTATACTTACAACAGCTGCCCCACTCTTCAAACCGAAACGCATTACTGCTTCACGGCAGAAATAGGCACGGTGGTGGTACCTATCCGCGCGGACTCACAAGAGGTCCTACGACCAGTAATTTAATGCACGCCGTAGAATCTTGATACTGGCTACGTGTCCTTATCTATTCTTAAATGAGTCGGGAATTCGCTAGACTTCAGCTCTTCTCTTCACTTTTTAAATACATATACAATCTAGCAACTAACTAGTCTATGTACATATACAATCTAGCTACTAACTAATACAAATCAATATTCAGTACAACCGTGTCGGATTTCCTTTATACATCATTTAAAGAGAGACGTGCTAAGACGCTAATGAAGTGTGCGCTGGGAACTTATGCATGGCTGAGTAGTGCGAACTGCAAACACGAAGCCATTGAACATATCAGTTC